GTATCTCTTGGTTTGAGATTACTAATTTTTCTCCATATGTAAGTTCGAGATTAATTTATATATGGAACTTAGTAATCTCAAATCAAGAGATACAATTCCGAAGAATTAATTTTTCGCGCTTGGGCTCTATTGGCCGATTTAAAATTCATATATTATTATTATTATTACAATAATATTGAAAGCCGACATATATTTCTTATCTGGTATTATAAAAATATTTAAATTAAATATCATATTAAATCTAACAAAACGTATATTTGACTCTCTTAAATACTAATATACATATGTTCGATTAATAAACTATATAGCAATTTAGTTGAAAGGTTCAGTCAAGTTGATTAATTTTTTTCAGTGTAAACATACCGTACGCAATAATGTATGTATTTGAAAATGAAAGAGAATAAAAGAACGCGAATTTATTATTCGATTAGGTGTATTTTATATGTATATATCAATTGTTTGCATATTTCTACCGAGAATACGCAGCCTACGCGCGTCGCATTCTTTCGCGACAGATAAGGTAAACAGTACAGTAAGTACAATACCAGCTTTTACATACAAAAGTATCATAAACATTAAATACAGAAACACAAATTAAGTTGACTCCTATTTTCGCTAATCGAAAAAAGGATGGTAATAATTCATGTATATTTAGGGAAAAATAGTATTAAATAACTCGATACAGTTTCTCTGATATAAACTCTAGAGACAAAATCAAACATAAAATTAAAATGTTTACAAAAATATTAAAAAATTATTATATTAGGTATATATATTATATAATGATAAATATTGGACATAATATAAAAAGATATTTAAAAAATTAAAATATTATAAGAGAAACAATGTAATAAAGTATCAAAATGAAGATATACGAGAGTAATGTCAAAAAGAGTGGTAATAATTCATGTATATTTAGTAAAAAATAGTATTTTAAATAACTCGATACAGTTTCTCTGACGCAAACTCTAGAGACAAGATAAAATATAAAATTAAAATATTTAAAAAATATTGAAAAACTATTATATAATACATTGAAAAACTAAAATATTAAGAGAAATAATGTAATAAAATATCAAAAAGAAGATATACAAGAGTAATGCCAAAAAGAGTGGTAATAATTCGTGTATATTTATTGTTAGTAAAAAATAATATTGAATAACTCGAGATGCAATTTCTCTGATATAAACTCTAGAGAAAAGATAAAATAAAAATGTTTAAAAAACATTAGAAAAAAATATATTATATAATAATAAATATCATACATAATATAAAAAGATATGAACAAATTGAAATATTAAGACGGAGAGGAACAATGTAATAAAAATGTATCAAAAAGAAAATATACCGAGAGGAGCGCCAATTTCTCGAGAATGAAAAATGATGATCGGCTCCCGAACAAGAAGCAGAAGGAAGCGTCCAACATCGATTAATCGATCAAGTATGGCTCCTCGTTTCTGCCACGAGGCTACCGCGCGTCTGAGAGCGACTGTCTATTTTCTACTTGCAGCCGCTACCCTCGGTTTAAACCATCTCCCGGGAACACGAGAGAGAGAGACGCCGGGTTTCGCGATTCTACATACTTCTATAAACAAGCCGGGGAACACTTGACGATGGTCGTTATACCGGCGACGTTATTAACCCTTAATCGGTCTTCGTATATCTTGGCATACGTCCCGACAAAATCATTTTCGTCTCGCTTGCTCATTCTGACACTTTGGCAGACACGCGCGTACTCGCTGTAGGAAGTTTACTCTGCCTAATTTTACAAGCGATTCCGACTGTCACTGTATGTCGAAGAAACGCGTTCCAATTTTATTTCAAAAAATATTTTTTTAAAAACGGTAAAAAGTGAACGTTGATCTATAATAATGCTTAAAGAGAAAATCAAATCACATTACAGATACAATTATCTAAGATATTTTCAATTAAACTGGTCGTGTATGAATATATAATTAATCTCTTGATAAAAAGGGGTCAATACACAAGTATTAAAAATATATGAAAAAAATAAACTTGCAATTCATGAACCTTATATTATATATATATGTAGATATTATCTCATCAGGAAAAATCGGGATAATTTTTCCTTTCGCGTGTAAGATGCAATGATAACATTAATGTTAGTTAACGTTATAGAGTTCTAGGACATGTTACAGAAGCAAAAAACGTAGAAAATCTTTACCTCGATCGGTCCTGCTCGATTGCCAGCGATATGAGAATTTATTTGCGCAAGCTCTCGCGATATATAAAAATTTCCACAGTTAATTCCCCATCTAATATATCCAAATTACTCTTTCGTATATAAAAATATAATCTCGCGTTTCTAGCATCGCGAGGTTCAAGGCTGAAAGCGATCTCTCGTAACGTAACTACCTGGACTTCCGCTAGCTTCGTCGTCGATCGTTAAACACGGGTGTCTCTGAATTCTATTCGAGACCAGGAGGATCCATTTCGCAAAGACCCTGTTTTAGATGGCGTATATTCCACGTTTAATCAATAATAATCATAATAATGAACGTTTCGACGCTTCGCGAAAAAATAAGCATTTTCTATGCCCTATCTACACCTAAGGATAAGCCACAAGTAGTAGTATAGACGATCAAAAACCATACTGAAGTTGGTTTTTCAATCGCAATTTTTTTCGCTTCGTACGATTGCAAACCAACTTCAGTATTCGTAAATTTTTCCGGCTGTGGTACGATTGAAAACCAACTTCAGTTTTTGATCATATCTATATATATACCACTCATTGGGATAAGCCACAAGTAGGATAATCCTTAAATTCAATTAATTAATATTTAATCATAAATTTTTTCGGTTGTGGTACGATTGAAAACCAACTTGATCATTTAACCACTAACTGGGATAAGCCACAAGTAGAATTATCCTTAGGTGTAGATACGGCACTAGACAAAATCGGACGCTAAATCGCGACAAGAGGGAAGAAGCAGAAGAAGATGAGGAGCGAGCGGTTCAATAGCAAATTCCAACAGCCCCGAAATAAACTTAATAGCTCCCCTTACACATTCAGCATTTCCTATCTCGTGCGCGAACGCACATTTCCCCGTCGTCGTCGACGTCGACGTCGTGCGCGCGAGCTTCGCACGTGCGTAATTATTGGCGACCCTCTATCGATTCGTTTCGGGCCGGTTTAGTCGTCAACGAACGAAGGAACGAACGAGCGAACGAACGAACGAACGAACGAGCAGGCGAGTGGCTGTCAAAGGTTGGGTATATTTCCTCGGCAAGTGAGTCTAGGTCACCCGTATCGGGTCGATACCACGAAAGCGGGACAAAGGCGAGTCTTCGACTGTGCCTCACGCGTATTACAGTCGGAGCTGACCAGTCGGGGGCTGGAACTCGCGTCTTTCGGCGAGTAAAGGGGAAAAGGGCTTTCTTTTTTTCATTATTTTCATTTTTCTCGTAGTCCTTTTATTCCCGGAAGAGGAGTCCGAGAGAAAGCTCGCGCGCTTTTCCTATAAGAGAATCCAACGGGAACCAACGAAAGGTTTGATATAGGTACCCACACGCAACCCAAAGGCGTGGAACCAATCACGCGCACGTGAGACACGCGATATGCGCGTGCAAATTAATCACACGGACAAGGTCGTTTGATTTCATTTTCTTCAAACTTGAGTCCTCGTATAATAGTTTGTTAGAACCGTAACCGCACGTCCGGCTTCGAACTCTTTTACTCGAGGGATAAGCGTCACCAACGACACGACGAAGTTTCATTCAAGTTACACTCGTCGAGTTACACCACGAGGAAACAATTTCAGAATAAAAATTGCGCATTTCCTCACGAGACCAAATATTAATTCTTCTTTAATACATTTATTTATAGATGTAAAATGTTAAATGTATCGATTAGTCTTCCGTCTCTTTTCTGCCCATCTCGTCGGACGTTTCACGCGAATCATTTCGGGGAAGGAAATTCGAAGAAGTGCCTCGTCTTTTACGAACGTGTAGGAGAGTCTCGTCGAGATTTTTGGCAGCGAACTGAGCGCGACATTATAATATATGCGTCGCGGGGCCGAAATGTCTCGAGAACAAGGAAAATGAAAAAAAAAAATAATGGGTTCGACGAATTTGCCAAAAGCCACGGATTAGCGGAAAATCGGCGTAGCACTCGCATCGGAGAGCCGGTTCGCATCCCTGATCGAAACACGGTTTCCTTCGACAATGCGCTTGCCCGATCCCGGGGCACACGTACGAGACTCCTCTCTCTCTCTCTCTTTCTCAATCCATCCTCTTTCTCCGGCCGTCTCTTTCTCTCTTCAGGGTCCGCTGGCAGGTCTGCTGGCACTCCCGAAATAATGTTCGGAAGAAACGCGCGAAGTCGGAGCGGAGAAAGGAGGGAAGAGAAGCGCGGAGAAGCTGACGAGATCCAGAGGTTGAGGAAGATGAGAGAAAAGGAAAACGGAACAAGAAACGCCCGGATCGCGAGCGCATGTTACATAATTTTCGTAAGCGGAGAGGGCGATGTGGGCTGGTGGGGATGGGGAGTGGACGATGGTCGACGACGAGGAGCTTCCCCGAGGTATTTCCTATGAAAGGAAGACGGGCAGAGAGAGAGAGAGAGAAAAAGAGCACGACAGAGACCGGGAAGGGTATATGTACGCGTCCTCGTGTGAGTGCGTGTGCGCCAATAGCTAAATGGATGGATGGATAAATGGTACGATCGGGAGGGTAGGAAAAAAGGGGATGAGGAAAAACAGAGGTGGAGGAATAAATAAGCTTGAATAGAGGGGAACTCGACGGAACTCGGAAAACGAAACAAATAGATATTTAAATAGAAAGGAAGAGATAGAGAGAGGAGGAAAACAAAAAAAAAAGGGAAGGGCAAAGAGCGAGGAAGAAGAAGGTGGAGATAGCGGAGGCTCGTGTCCTGGTGGGCGGAATGGCGAATCAATCCTCGACGCGGGGAAGGGAAAGAGGAGAGGGGTGAGTGGGGGTGGGGTGACATATACATACATACATACATATACACTACTCACCGTGGACGGTGGCAGCAAGATGTCTGCGAGGGTGTCTCTTCTTCTCCTCGACGGTGGCAAGAGAGAGGAAAGCCCGATGTCACATACGCCGCTTCATCGGGCCACTGTGCTGCCGCTTAATACCACTCCGCGCGGTGCTCTTCGCCCGCCTTCTTCACCTTCTGCCACTAAAAATAAACTCGCTCGCTCTAACCGTGCGCACCTCCGCGGCTGCCCCCGCGCGCGCGCGCGCGCGCGCACTCGCGAGCACTCTCCCACTCCCTCTCTCTCTCTCTCTCTTTCTCTCTCTCTCTCTCTCTCTCTCTCTCTCTCTCTCTCTCTTTTTCTTTCTCTCTCTTTTCCACGCTCTTTCTCGCGCTCGCGCTCACGTCTTGTAACGCGACCGACACATTTATCCGCACTTTCGGGCCGCTCTCTCGGGCACTCTCGCGCACCTTTCGCGCTCCGCTCCGCGACCGACCGACCGCTCGATTCCCTAGAATCGAGGAGGTGGCACCGTGTCGCCGCTACCGCCACCACCGCCGCGCAACCAACCGCCACCTCCACCACCGATATGTGGATGATGATGATGATGGCGAGAAGACGGCGCGATTCCCGACCTCCGGAACGGCACCTGGGAGAAGAGACCGAGTCTAATCGCGAGAGGGAAACAATATTTCCGGAGCAGAGACGAGAAACAGAAAGAGAGAGAAAGAGAAAGAGAGAGAGAAGTTCGGAGCACACCCCCAAGAGGGATCGAAAACGAGAAAGGGGAAGGAAGGAGTGGCGCAAAAACGGAACAAAACGCGCACTCGCGATTATATTATATATATATATATAGATATATATCCTCTTATATTTATTCCGTGTCGCGAATTCTAAAACTATATAAATGTATAGAACTCCGAAATTGTCGAGCGAAATGAAACGCGCACGTCCTTACCCCGGGGATGCCACTCTGTCGTCGTCACCGAGAGCGCGGGACTGTCGCGCTCGAGTTCCTCGTGGTTCCCGTCGACCCTCCCTCCCTCCCACTCTCTACTGACGGTATCGACTGCGCCGGCGGCGACGACGCGACGACGACGACGACGGCGGCGACGCGGGGCGGCTTATTTTTCTACTCGATGCCCCTTTTCATACAAGCCGAATCGCTAATAAACTAATTAGCTCGTGGTGGTTGGAGCTTACGGTGGTGACTTTTGGGGCGCGTTTTATTATCGCTGGTGACGTAGACCGGCGAGTCCGAATCCCGAAGACGGCATCGACGCGGTCACCGGAGAAATATTGACGGAAAATATGAGACGAGGAAACGACGACGACGACGATGACGATTTAGTACTCCGGTTAGCTCGCTGAATATCGCTCTGCCTTGGCTTGTGGCCGCAGATATTATTGTGCGCGCGCACCTCCGTGTGACACGCACACGTGTAACGTACGTGTATGTATATGTGTGCAAACCGCGACGACGAAGACGGACACGACAGGACTATCTCTTTCTCTATCTTCGCGTATCTGTCAGTATCGCGCGCTTCGACGTGACGGGCTGATATTACGCATGTGCGTTCACGAGAGTAGACGTCCGCGATATATGGAAGGAGAGAGAATGACCGGCGGGGAAAACACAGAACGAAAGATATAGATGGAACAATCGAGAGAAGGTAAAGGGCGAAAAGAAATACACACACGGTATATGAAAAGAGAGAGAGAGATGAGAGAGAGAGAGAAACGCGGATAGTGTAAAGCGTGTAAGACGGGAAGAGGGGCCTTGGCCCTATCCGAGATTCGGGTTGCGAATTTAACGTACGGTATGAACGGTTCCGCGGTCGCCGTTACACTAAATCGCGGGAGAACCGCGTCGCGAAAGATATATCGCTCTCGCTCGTTCGCGCGCGCATGCGCACTTTCATTCGCGCCACCTAGCCTTATCGCCCGCTACCCTGGCACCAGTGTTATGCTTATTATCTTTTTGTTTTAAATAAAGCTAGATAAAAGATAAAATTATATGGCGAAATTTATCTAGATCATTTCCAGATAATATTATTTTGTAAACACAATTATAAAAAATGTAACTTTTTATTTAAATGTAAATTTATATTTTTATATGAAGATAAGATGACACACATCAAAATTTCATCTAGATGATTATCTATAAAATTTTATTCAGGTAAAGTTTCCTAATTTCTTTTATTCTAAATAAAGCGCCTTCGTTAATTATGTTGCTATAATTTAATTTAGCTGCATTTCGAAAACAGGGATCTTGAGAATTGTTCGATTTTCATTAATAATATAACGTAAAAAAATTTCTAGCATCGCTAAATACTACGAGATCTCGGATCAAGCGATCGTGATTTTCATCTTGATTATATAAATATATAAATAAATCAGTTTCACATACCTCTTTTATCTCCGGACTCGTATAATGTTATGTTTTCAACACACACTGCAACAATGAGAAGAATATATATTATGCCTCGATGAAAAGTATCAACTTGAAGTAAACCGCTATTCGAGTCTCGAGAATTGAGTTTCCGACACGTCAATTCACGAACTGAATTTTGGCGCGAACTTTTGACATACGGTCTGTCAATGTTTGATAAATATTTATCCCGTTTAAAATTAGCGAGAAAATTCACAGACTGTTGAATTAATTATTTCCTTTTCTGGAATAAATTTAAACGTTAATCATAAATTTTGTAACATTTCTGAAAGCCGCTGCCATCTTTGGTTTACAGAAACAGGCTCGATGCGTCATCTACAGGAAACTCGGCGAACGAAACATGCGATTGCCCTACTACATATTTTACAATCTATGCCTGAACTTACTATACTATAGCAATAGAAAGTGGATAATGAAGCGATAGAAACCAGAAGCAAAAGCTGATGTTGTGTTAGGTTAAGTGTTGTTTCTAATGGTCCTGGATAAAAGTGCATGCAAAATTTGTGAGAAAACAATTACAGAGAACAGTTATTTTAGAGTGAAGAAGAGATTGAATATTTATATTATCTCTAATCTTGCTTTCTGGTTAGGTAAGCGTCTCGATATATGTTGCTAACAATTAAGATAAAACACTATCATCTACTTGTTTTTTTTCTCATTGTTACATTTGCGTTACATTATTTTGGATAACAGATTTTTCTCGGGGATGTTCTATAAATATCGTTTTTCCTATAAATATCATTGCGAAAAAAATATTGATATCGCTTCTTTTATCGTGATTGATAGATTTATGTCTCCTATACGGATTATCGTGAGATTTATGAGTCAACAAAGATGGTTTCTATACAAGATATTGGTCTGCAACTTACGAAACCAGTGAAAGAGCTGGCACAATGGAACTTTCCTTTCTCAGAGGTATGTTTATGTTATCAGTTTTTCTTTAGTCATCTGTTATTATATTATATTAAGTATATTATTAAAATAATATATTTAATGCATACGATGTACATATAATATACATACAAATATATATGATGTAAATATATTATATTATATTAATTTAATATCATACTATTGCAGACTTTAAATAAATATTGCTCATTATTCAATACAACATGCAGCAAAAGTTTCGGAGAAGCTGGACTTGTTCTGCAAAACTCTGCAGCTGTATATGTGCATAGAATTGATTCTCTTTGGAATAAAACAGAGGATTCTAGAAATTTATTAGTGAATTATGAGTATGTATTTATTAATATATCGAAAAATTACTAAAAATTATATAATTTTTAAATATATAATTATATATACATATATATTTTCTAAATATATATATATTAAATTACATTTTCTTAGAAATGAAGAAATAACACAAAATCTGCCAAAAAACGAGAAAGAAAGACTGATATGTGTTTTCAAAATTTTAAAACAGTCGACTTTGCTAAAGAAGTAGACAAGAATATCAATATTAAAAAAAACCAAACACATATTGTCAAATCAAAAAATCGTTGCTTTACTCAACTAGAAAAGGGTATTGCACAACATGTGTCTATTGATATTTATGATGTAAATGGAGAAGTCATTGGTAAAAATACGATTTTCGGTAAGTATCAAATTGTTTTTTTAATGCACTTATTTTATTATAAGAGATTATATTTATTATATCTAATAAATATTGTAGCTGCAATCAAAACATAAATGTGGACGGTGTATTGGTCGATGCTATGGTCGAGTTTGCGTCTCAAGGTATGTAATTGTGAGAATAAACTTTTGATTCAGTCAAATAATTTTTTTTTTTTTTTAGATTTTGGTTGTGATGATGATTCTGAATCCTTATCGACTCCGAGCTGTACAATGCACGACGATAATGATCAGAATGCTAGTAGTGATGCTGAATCTGAAAGGAATAATGATGATTCACTGGAGGAAGAAGTTCCTGAAATGGTTACATCTTTGGAATTGACTCAACAAACTCAGTCTTTTTCCGAGAACTCTGGTACCAACACTATCGAAACGCCAAATAATACTTTGGATGATAATTGTCATAATGTGACTCCTGATGATATCTCAAATGAGATGTGTCTAAATACATCAAGCGATACCAACTTATCGATAACTCAAATCAATAATAATTGTTCGAGTAATATTGATTTGGATGATAATTATTTAAACAATGATATTAGGAAAAGTATAGATGTTGGTAGTTTATTAGATAGTCCACCCGAGTCAGTAAATTCGAAAGATAGAAGGTATTTTTTATATTTTTGCTACTTGACATCTTAATGTAATAAACATATGTGAAAGGGTTTTAAAATCAACAATATTATTTTAGAACGTCATCGATGGATGATTCAGGATTGATAAGCGACACAAATGAGGAGCTGTCGAAAATACATTTAACTACAAACATTGAACAAAAAACTCCAAAGAGCAGTACAAAGAATAAAATAAAAGGATCTCCAAAATCCATATCAAAATCGGTAAAAATATGTAATGGCACTTATAATTTTGTTATTAAATAATAACGTTTGGTGCTAATATTCCTGAATTATTTATTTATAGGTTAAGCGAAAGTTTAGTCAAACAAAAAGGAAGCACTTACAGCGAATAAGAAAGGACAAGGTGAAACAAAAAAAAATCTCGTTCATCTTGTTGAGGAACCGCTTTTCCTTCGAAGAAAAAGAGGTAAATCTATCAGTCTGTTTCTAGAGAAATTGTCCGATAGGTACCAATTTATTGATTTTTGTATAAATTAACTTTATATATATATATAAGTATATATATTAAACGATGATATTCCGTTTTCAGGTGGACCAAATATGTTCAACAAAAGTTTAAGTACCTGCATAAAATGTATACAAGAGTGTAATCCTTTGCAATACAACGATGTGACGAATGTAGATTTGGATCTCTTAGGATTTCAATTATGCGTTAATGAGGAAGCGAATACGGATATTAGCGATAATGAGCCAATGGACATTTCGATTAATGAAGTCTCCAGACTTCGCAGTCCGAGTCCGATGGACTCAAACGGTTTCGCGGATCAAGTGGATTCACCTTTGCATGAAAATTTCTGCGACACGTGGCTGCGACCAGACTCGCCGCAGTTCTTGCCTGTAAGTCGAGAGAATTGTCATCTATAGGAAATATTAGTTAAAATGTAAAATCTAATGAAACGAACAATTTTAGAGAAACGTCGACAAGTGGCACGAAATGATACAGCCTAAATTACGCGAAGCCGAGCAAAGATCGACGTTTTGCGTTCACGACTACGCGACGCGAATTGTGACGTCTTTAAAGGCGAATGATCAACGGAAAATTAATTTCGATGCTATTATTCAAAACGAACACGAGGTGGCCAGATATTTTCTAGCATTGTTGGACTTGGTAAGATACGATATTCAGAAAAAAAAGTAAAAAAAGTTTATGTAATCGATTATTTCTAATATGAAATATTTCCGCAGGCCGCTAAACGAAATGTAGATTTGCACGCTGATAAAGATCTCAAAAATGATATAGAAATAGTTCTACGTGAAAAGGACACACAGTGCGTTACCAATGACCAAGTAGTGGATTCGCCTGATTAACGAGCACATATTTTAGTTTTTTCAAAAGCTTTGCGTGTGTATCATATGTACATATTAAAGAAAATCAATTGAGATATACCTTCGTCTGTCAGGGCGATAAACAGTCCTATTTTATACTGTGATATTTTGCCGAGTGCAATTAAATATCTTAAGCAAAGGTACATATATCTTGTATTTGTGCATTAAATATTTTTAACGGGACAAATGTACATAAATTTACTTTTTCTTTTTACGCCATTTCTCTTTTATCTTCTTTAATTACCGAATTATAATTTTATATATACATATACATACACATGTACATATAAAATTGTTATATACGTACAATTAATTGGAAATCTACATATATATTTCTACCGTACGTAATATTTTCATTTAATTATCACCGAGCGATATAATTCGTTGCCGGACGAGTCGTAACGAGGCATTGCAAGAAAGAAATTGTTACAGCGTGAGAGATTGATTTTTTTTAATTAATACTGAAATGCATTCCCGTCCTCTATATCATGTACAGCTGTGGTATGAATGTGCGACGAAATGACAGAGCCGTGCATTCATAAACGTGCGGGTCCTCTCTCTCACCACGTCGCGCATACACATCTCACATGTGCAATGAATGTGTATGACAATTGGTCCTGGTGTAATATATACAGAGAGAAAGAGAGAGAGAGGGAAAAGAGAAAGAGAGAAATGCTCAACGCATGCGTCTCGTCTGTGCCGAGCCGACGACGGGCGCACCGGCTCACGGTTTATATTAGTTTACATTAGGACAGGCACATATAGACACCGCAAATGCTCGTGTAAATTGTGTTTTTTGTTAACGCGCTCGCAATTTTCTCCCCGAACGATCGCGTTTGAAAAAAAATATCGCCGCGTATCGCGTGAAATCGAACGTTTACACAAAATAGAGGCTGTAAGTTTTTATTTTTTTTTCCTTTCGTTAATTAGTAGTGTGATTCTCTCGAGATTATAGTTCTCGTGTTTGAAAAAATTAGCCTTTTCAGATCTTACGCGAAAGAAAATTGCGCCGAAAGAGTGTGATGAAAAATAATATGCAGGAGATATGGAAACTCGCGAATGTTTTACTAGTTTAATATAGAGTCAATTCCACTTGATAGTAACCAATTAGACGTGTAGATCTATACGCTTCTCTCCCTTGATATATTTCTAGTTCTCTCTCTCTCTCTCATGCGGCAGAGATATATTCAATTGAGATAGTTGCGTTCTGGCGCGCGTCTCATCTTCGCGCTAATACACACGTCGGACTATTATAGTCGCACGTTTGTGCAACATATGAATCGCTATCGATATTGTTAATTTCCGTCAACTAGCGGTTTGACTCGAAAATTCAATAATATTTATCTTAAAGTGTCATTTTCGAGGGGGTATGATTATCTCGTTCTTAGTATATATTTTAAGATTTTCAATTTTATTCTACTTTTTTTTTAAGTAAAAATTGGTATAATTTACAAATTTCAAACATAATTTTTCGGTATCGATATTCTTAATTTCCGTCAACTCGGTTTGACTCGAAAATTCAATAATTTATCTCAAGTGTCATTTTCGAGGGGGTATGATTAGATAATCATTAAAAGTCTTAAAGGTCTCGAGATCGGTCTTAGTATTTTTCAGACTTAATTTGGTTCTTTCAATTTTTTCTACTTGTTTATCCGTGAAAATTAGTATAATTTGCAAACTTTTTCGAACATAACTTTTCGCAGGGATAAAACTAAACTAACTAACATCAACATGAACAGCAAGAGTGCATTACTGGTGCAACGATGGATGCTCCAACCGCGCGTGTTGCTCGTTCTCATTTTGCTGCAATTTATCATTCAGTTTTTCACATCTGTCTATCTGTACAAGTATGTCACGAACGTGGACAGCGATCTTCGCTTGGTAAAAAGTCAGTATCCACCGGCTTTTCCGCGGCGGAGACGCAGCAGCGCATTGCCAACCGGCGAAGACAATACAGTTTCTGACATAGCAAGTAGGGTATGTATACAAGTATACATATATATATACAATAATTTAGAGAATTATTGTAACGAAAAAAGAGAAAAAGTCTCCAATTCTACTCGTGAAGACAAGTCTAATTTTTTAAAAAAGAAGCAGCTTTAAAATTTTACAATTTTCTTGTATTGTTTCGTAATAAAAGATAGCAAGATTTAAAAAATTAGATAAAAATATTTTAGATCATTTATATATGTGTATACATGTATTTCGATTTTTTATATTGTATATTAAGGTGTATTTAAATAGGTGCGATAAATTTTAGGAAATAATTTTCTTTGTCGAATATTAAGTTTTTATTTTTTATCTTTTTCGAATTAAAAAAATGAAACCTGATGAATATTTTCCACTGATAAAAAGAATATTTACATTTTCCAAAATAATTAAAGGATAAAAAAATTGTCCAAAAATAGGCAAATTTTAAATAGCTGTAACTTTGTTTAGAAAAATGATAATTTAAATTTTAAAAAGGGTTTTAAAGCTTGAAATCTCTATTTTCGAAAGATTATAGTTTTTTTCATTTTCTTCAATTGTAATATTTTTTACATCAGAAAATGACGAACTTAACGAAATGAAAATTTTCTTCTTACTTTGTAGATATATCACATACACAAGAAGATTTGAAAAAATTTTTGACATATTCACATTAAAGCCTGAAGTTTTCCCTGCAAAAAGTTTTTTAAAATTCGAATTTCGATCTTTCCTTATCAAGTTATCGCAAATTGAACAGAAAATGTCATTTTTGCTTTGATCGTTCATAATTCTGTTCAAAATCATCGTACAGCAATTTTATAAATGGATTCTTAAAGCTGAATCTTTGCTCTATAATATGATATAGAGACTGAATTATTTTTAACCCGTGAACTTTTTATAAATAGATGAAAATAACGAAGAAATTCGCGAGTTTTTTCTTTTTGTTCAAACTTAAAAAAAAGTTATGTAAAGTGACTTAAAAAAATTTTATCGACTGAAATTTTTGTTCCGTATGTTTAAAATGATGTGTACAATATTTTCTCTTCAAAAATATGTCAAAAAATATTTTTCGATACCTCTTGTGTCTACAAAAAGAGAGAAAATTTTCCATTTCGTTGTGTTCGTCGTTTTCTGTAAAAAATATCAGAATTGAGGAAAACGAAAAAAGCTATGACCTTTCAAAAGTAGAGATTTTAAACTTCAAAACTCTTTTTTAAAATTTCAATTATCATTTTTCGAAACAAAGTTACAGCTATTTAAAATTTGTCTATTTTTGAACAATTTTTTTGCCTTAATTATTTTAAGAAGTGTATTAATATTTAAAAAATTAAAACTTAATTTTTACCTTCCTCTTTAGAAAAGTGTAACTTTTCAGAGAGAGATATAAGGGTATATGTTTACATGTATAAGAAATCCCCCTTAATTTTCGACAAAGAATCATCTCCTAAAATTTTTTGCACTTATTTCGATATATCCTATATATATATATAATTAATATAAAATTTTGATATACATATATATTAATAAATAAAAATTAAATAAAAAAATAAATAATAAATGTTATGTTAATCATATATACAATATATATAAAATTAATATGTATATAATTATATAATAATATTATATATATAAAATTGACATAAAATTTTGATATATAAATTATAAATAAAGATAAAGTAATAAAATAGTTAATTTTACAGTTGAAAAAGATTTGTTAATTTTCTGCGAATTAAATTTCTCGGGATTTTCAAAGAGATAAAATTTCTCGATTTAATTTTGTACATAAAGATATCTTAGATACATCTCTTGTGTATAATATCGCGGAATTACTTGGATCGCTCGGTTGCAGCTTCGGGAGGATAAGGAAATCCAAGGTACAAGGAAAGTAACAGCCTCCCCTATCATGGTATCTGGCTCTGCGTCTTCGCCAACAGTGGCCGGAGGTCAAGACTGGGTCTGGTTGAACGCCGACACGCGAATACAAGTCAGTTCTCTAGCGATTGTTAGAACTAGTTACCTGTTTCGCGCGATACATCCTTCCCTCAATATTCTCGTGCAAACTTCGAGCTTTGCCGCGATGTTCCGTCGACAAGTTCCGTCACCTACATGTATATAATAGAGTATCGCGTATATAGGATACTTGAAGATAAGGGAGCTAAGTGTTCTTTAAACCTATTTCCCTCATTACAACAATGACAAAGGTTTGTGCAAACATGAACACGCTTGTACGAGCTTCTTATTATTTTAACGTGAGAATTAGATTCAAACTGGACGAGATATAGAGCTTAAAATCATATATTCCTCGTTCATCTTCGCAAAATTTTCTGTAAAATAATAATTATTTTTATCCAAATTGCTTTCAATTTTTTATAATCCAAGATTATAAAAAATTGAAAGCAACAAGTCATAAAAATATTATAATAAAAATTTTCTAGAGATATTTTCTAGAAATATATTTCTATACACAGTAAAAAGAACTTGCATTTACATCAATTAAAAATTTAACATAAAGTAGCAGTGTACAAAATAATCGGATTACTTACCTTGTTTTTCAGTTCGATGCGATCGAGAATTTTTGCCGTTCATCTGCAAAGTATTGCCCACCGGGCCTTCCTGGTGCTCCTGGAAATCCAGGTCCACCTGGTGAACCGGGTCTGCCTGGTATCCAGGGAATGGTGGGACCGAAAGGACCTCCTGGACAACCCGGTCATCCTGGTGTCAGAGGACCCAAAGGCGACATCGGTCCACCAGGGTTCGACGGAAGAGACGGTGTACCTGGTGAACCCGGTTTGGACGGGATTCCCGGTAGAAGCGGTCTGGATGGCATCCCGGGACCAATGGTAAGCCGGGTATAAACGGGTCGCCTGGATCGCCTGGAAGAAATGGAACAGACGGTACGTTTGATGTATATTTACACTTGATGAACACGTATCGTAATTTTAAATTTGTCATAAAGAAGGATTCACATGTTGAGGATAAACATAGGATTAAATGTACAGTACTTGGTGGAAATGACTAAATACAAGGGAAAGCCGCTCTTGTCCTCGAATTTTTTTTAAATGCTGCTTTTTAACATTTATTCTTTTATTATGAAAATTATTACGTAAAATGTTTAGCATTTTTGTTATTCTTCTTTATTATTCTGTAATATAAAATTATACACCGAGAGAATTTTTTCTTTTTTACTCTGAAAATCACGGTATTGGAAGAATTTTATAAGAAATTCTCTGATTAATATTTACCACGATAAAAATATTAATATATGTACATAATAAAATTAATTGAACACATTTCATATCTTATTGTAGTAGATAAAATATTTTAATATATTTTTTATTGTAATAAATATTAATCAGAGAAACTCTAATAAAATTCTTCCATACCATATATATGTTATCTCACGATTACCATGATTTTCAGGCTAAATTCTAAGAAAAATTTTTGCGTATATTTCGTAACATCGTAATTCTTCAAAATTTTGCAACAAAGTCGTGAATTTGTTGTTACTTTATAAAAAGAAGTACACTGACATTTGATATTTATATAGGAAGACCCGGTCAAATGGGACCTCAAGGACCACCAGGACCGCGCGGTGGGTAATAATAGTGGTCGAATAATTTCTTTAGTTCATTTGTTTGACAAATACATTTTTGATGCATCAGGAGACTTAGGTCCGCCCGGTCGATCCGGAATGCCCGGAAACAACGGTAAGCCGGGTATACAGGCTTACAAAGTGAACATCAATGACCACAGCATGCATGACATATTAATACCGCCATCCATTCTAGGTAGGTGAGGAGATGAATAAATAATATTTATTCTTCCCTCCTTTTGTCTCCCTTTTATTTCGAATCTTCAACGTGTAAAATTGTAATGTTACATATATAAATTCGATCCTTTGATCTCTCGATATTATTGCAATTTCGCCCGATGTTGTCGCAAAAAAGGTCTCTTTGAAAGTACAACGTTTCAGAGATCGCATCGCCGTTGAACGCGAGCGACGTAATTTCCGTGCAAGAAGGCAGCAATATACGACTGAGATGTGCAGCTAGTGGGAAACCGCAACCCGTTATACAGTGGGCCAAAATAGACGGTTCGACGATACCTATGGGAACTTGGCACGGTACATAGTCGAATTTTCTAATTCGCGATAATAAACGGAGCGAATAACAGACAGCGCGATATAGATTTTAACGAGCTTTCGTAGGTATATCATAACAAAATCTTATATCGACTCTAGTGAATTCGATAGTGAGCCCGAGCCATACTTTTAATATCACCACGGTCACCCGAGAACACATGGGCGAATATGTGTGTAACGCCAACAACGGGATAGCACCAGCAACTTCCAAAAAATTCAAGCTCCAAGTCAGATGTAAGCACATTGCAATATATTTTCAAAGAGAAAGTTACGATATACATATACCCATACAGTGCAACAAGATTGCAGCAGCATTGTGGCAACATTTCATTGCAATATTACAACATTGCGTAAACATTGTGAAATGTTGCAGCAAGATTGCTGCAAGGTTGCAGCAACGGTAAAATGTCCGCTTTCAGTAATATTATTCTATAACATTGCAGCAATAATGTAATAAAATAAATATGTAATAATACTATTGGATTATTGGAAATGTGTTAAATACATGATCGGACTGAATGTTCTGTACCTAATATTTTTTGCGTGAATTTTATTTTCATAATATTTCTGAAATGTTGCTGCAACGTTGTTTAAACTATGTTGCAAATTCATGCCTATATAATATTTCTGCAATATTGCTATGCAATGTGCAATATTGCAATGTTATTGCAGGAATCAGTAAAAAAATTAAGCATTTACTCTCCTTGTGAATAAACACTGGAAGTGATCTCCAATTTTATTTAATATCCCTAATAGCACAGCACAACATATCCGAAAGATATTCAGAGGATATTCAAAGAATATCCAGAGGACATTCGAACATCCTCAGGAGGTTCTCTGACCGTCTTCGGGATATGTGTGCTGTTAGGGATAAAATATTAAAATAAAATAATAAAATAAAAAGTAAAAAATAATTAAAATTGAATTTAAAAAATTCAGAAAGAATAATATAATAGGAAACAAAAAATTTAATCATCCCCTCCCTGGAAAAAATTCCTGCGGACGCCCATGATGTATATAATATATGTGACAAAAATGCATATTATAATAATATAATCAATGTTTGCCGTTATCTAAAAAAATTATATAGGTGACCATTTAGATAAAATTTTAGCGTCATCTTATCTTATATAGATAATAAAAATATATATTATCTATATTTTGCATCTTAGATAAAAAAAAACTGTTATCTTTATTAAATTATGTAGAATAATATTCAGATAATTTGGTTTAGAGTCATAAGACATAAAAATAGTTAAATAGCAAAATTTGAGCAGTAAGCGATAAAAACGTACAATAAAAATATAATTATATTTTTTTATTCCTTTTATAATTTACATTTTTTTTTATAACTGTGTTTATATAAATACTTTAAAATAATATTATCTGAAAGTTATCTAAATGAATCGCCATATAATTTTATCTTTTATCTAGATATATTTAACAAAATTAAAAGATATATAAAACAAAATTCTCTTTATCTTATTTAAGATAAACTTACAAATTTTTATCTCATTTTTATTTAGCTAATTTTGAAATTATCTAAGCACAACACTGACTATAATTTATAATTTTTCATGTAAACATTTTTTGCCATTTTTTTTATATTATTTATATTTATTATTTATTATTTATTTATAGTTATTTATATCATTTATATTTCTTTTATATTATTATACTTTCAAAATTTATAATATAGTTTTCCAATGTTATTTATTTCTGTATTAATTTTTTTTCGAAACGCTACGCAGAGAGAATTTTTTTTTAGAATTGAAAGCATTTTATAAGAGTTTCTCTGATTAATATTTATCATAATAAAAAGTATTAATGTCCACCACAATAAGATATAAAATATGTTCGATTAATTTTACTATGTACATATTAATATTTGTTATTGTGGTAAATACATTAATCAAAGAAATTCTTCTAAAATTCTTCCAATACCATATTGTCCCATGCACGATTACCATAATTTTCAGGATAAATTCTAGAAAATTCTGTCCGTGTGTATATAATTAAATATTTTTCCCTAATTGTTGGTTACATCAATATAAATACTCTGACATATTAAAAAAAAAAAAAAAAATAGAAAAATGATTTAAACTTTCTGTACTATGAGATAAACGTGAATATTTTCTGGGGGTTTCAACGTTATTTTAGAGTGAGTATATATAATTCCGAAAAGGACCCCAATTTGATTTGAACCGAAATAGATACACAGAGACAAATCTGATAATCGATCGCGCGTTCCAGTTCCGCCGTTTATTCGTATACGCAGCAAGGTGGTTCTCGTGCGAAACCAAAATCCTGCGACGTTGGAATGCGAGGTGGAGGCCTTTCCCGAGCCGGTGGTGCACTGGGAACGTGGGGACGGTCGTCGTTTGAAGATATCGGATAAATACAGGACGGAGATTTATGACCGGCGAGATTATAAGGTAATCTTTATCGAACCGCGCGCAATTCTCTGTTCAGAATCAGTCATTGTCTATTTGAAGTGAGAGAAAGAAGATATATGCAACCATGTATTTTTGCATATTTGACATATAAATTCGATAATATGCAAAACGTACTTTTATTCGCTATCTTTTCACTTTTTTCTTACCTCATTATCATAACTTACGATACCTTTTTTTGTAATGTATGCGAAATTATTCCAAAAAGTTGAAGATGAAGCTAAGAATCACGAGAGTGACGTCGGCGGATCACGGGATTTATCACTGCGTGGCGAAAAATGATCTTGACATCATCAAGGGATCCTTTATAGTGGACGGTTTGTCTCTTACTCGATATATCTTGATAATAAATAATGAGCCATTATGTATTATACAGTTAGTAATTAATTATAACTTATAACGTTGAGATAATAAAAGGTAGAATCACGTTCTTCTATTTATCTAATATTAAATATAGCTTGAGTCGTTATTATGATCCGACAATGAAGTGTTTGTAAGAAAAACTGACTTTAATATTTTTAATTAAAATAAAAAGCAATCTGCGCCTTTTATCAAATCCATATGGATGATATAAATTCTAGAAAATGTGATTCTCGCTTTTATATCGTATAATTCTCGAATAAATTTTCCCAAGATTTTCCCAAAAATATTCAACCCTTAATTTCCCTCGATTTTAAGTGTCTTAAAAATATATCTCCTAAAATATATCGCTTATATAATAAATCAATATTTATCGCTTATTTCCTGAAAAGTTAATTTCATCGTAGAATATCCCGCAGGAAAAAATGTTTTATATATAACAATATAAAATTATATATAGAAATATATAAAATTATACATATAATCGCAAAATTATATATGAAATATGTCCATGCATAATTAGATAAAAGTGTTTTTATATATATTATATAAATTTATATATATATATATATATATATATATATATAATAAATAAGTATTTCTTCATATATATAAATATATATGTTTCATATATAATTTGGCATAATTATATATAAATTTATATAATTATGTATAAAAAATATATAAAAATATATATAATTGTGTATAAAAACAGACATATTTCACATATAATTTTACGGTTATATGTATAATTATAAAAAATGTGTTCCCGGAATTTTTCAACTAATATAACGAAATAATGCATAATTCTAGACGACATGAGAGACGTCGAGAAACTGAAGTTGGGGAAGGACGTTACGTATGGTCAGCCTATGCCTCCGAGCGTCGATCAGGAGCAAGAAATGTGCATTCCTAAAGAAAGCTGCACGTCTTGCCCCAAGTGCACGTACACAGACATAGTCGACGCGTACGTGAACGTTCAACCCTTGCGCGGGATTAACGTAACGCGGCCGCTATCGCCGTTAGCAGGTACGTTTAATCATTATTAACTAATGTATTCTGGTGGCGTTCTTGTGTGCAAACGGAAATGTAAATTAATTTCAAGAGGTGCGAGTGAAGTTGCGGTATAAACGCAAACATAGCGTAAGTCTCTCTCCCTCTCTGTTATACGAAATTTTAATAACGCGAACAAGGGACATTTTTCGGGGGAAACTTTTATTAAAGAGAAGAGAGATAAATAAATGTAACGCGGCGGAAATAAAGTAAAAGCAACGAAAAGAAAATCGACGTGCAGCTTTATAAATGTAAATCGATAAATTGCTTTTCACATTGGCTTCTAGCTCTACGTGAAAGTCAATCTCTATTCGAAAAAGAAAAATATAGAAATCGGAGAACTTGTTTAAAATAAAATAATTTAATTAAGATACAATTCTCATTTGACGTATCTTAATTGGATCTTAACTGCAAGCCCTTCGGGACCTTTTCGGGAATTTAAAATATGCAGAGTGTTAAAGAAAAGGGTTATATATTTTCAGAGCAAATAATATTGATTAAAATAAGAAAGAAATGTTTATATAATGAATATAGGCCCTAATTAATAAAGATACAGGCTATTTATCTGTTTGGGCATTCGCAGAATTTTTTCCAGGGAGTGGCATGATTAAATTTTTTAATTTCTTATTATTATTAAAGAATAATCTTTCTTAATTTTTTCTTATATTTTGTTATTTTAGTACTTTTATATTAAATAAAGTTGCAAATAAATTCCAGCGTTTCATCACGAGAGCAAATGCTTAATTTTTTAATTGATTCTATCACATTATATTATAGTATAATGTTATAAAATATTACTATAGCAAAACCAATACTCTTTTATTTATACAATGTAAAAGTGATACAATCAATAAGAAAGAGATGATAAGCTGAAATAATGGAAAGGTAACTTGCATCTTCAAAGATATTATTTGCACCTCTATTTATTAGCGACCTTTTCTCCATATTTTGATCAATACTACCCGCTCTCAAAATATGCAGCCTTTTTTTTAAACACCCTATATATAGTAAATAGAAAATCATTAATGATCGAAAAGTGCAGCGTTCGCGAAAGTTTATTTAGAACTCTGGTCGATACACTCGTGAAATACGAGAGAGGGAAACTTCTTCATGCAGACTCGCGGACTCGGAAATTAATAATCGTCGTCGGATAAATTCGCAGAGGGTTTGATAGAAGCCGTGGGAAAACCCGTGCTGAAAGGAAGCATGGACGATTATTATGGATGCTGGATGCACGACGCGTCTTCCTCGCGATATCCTCACGATATCATGTCCGATCGGCTCTTTGTGACTCGCACGGCCAACACGTCCTACATCTACGAGTACAAATCGAAGGAACACTTCAAAAACGAGACGGGTAGTCCGATAAAGCTGCCCCAACCCTTTTCAGGTCGGTGGTTTCAAAAAGGAAAGAGGCAAAGAATCTCCAATTCTATTATTACGCCATTTTTCTCAAGAATTATATACAAATATATATTCATGAATAAAACCCGGTTAACAGTTTTTATATATAACAATATACATTTATGTTATATATAATATCAATATAAATATTATATTAATATTATATATTATATAGAAATTTTATATATAATAATATAATTATATAGAAATATATTAAATTATACATATAATCGCAAATTATATATGAAATACGTCCATGCATAATTAGATAAAAATGCTTTTATATATAATTATATATATAAATTTATATATATATATATTATATATAAAAAATTTTTATATATATTATATATAAAAATTTCCAGGGAAGGGCATGATTAAATATATATTTTTTATATATATTATATATAAAAATTTTTTATCGGGAAATAATTGTATAAAATTGTTTGATACTTAATAGCAAGAAAAATTGCACAAGTTGGAATCGATATCTTTTTTTTTTTTTAGGGTAACGGGCACGTAGTTTACAACAAGTCGTTCTTCTACAATCCCCAAAATCAGTCGTCGGTCTTGCGATTTGATCTCTACGGATCGGAATGCAAGTCTGAACGCAACATACATTCAGCCAATTGCGAGATGCAGCTGCCGGCTTGGTGGTCAATACTAAGAACTACCTCTACACGCACAATTTCACTTACGTGGATTTCAACGTAGACGAGAACGGTAAAACGACGAATCGACGTTTTTGCCTCCCATCCCTTCGACATATTTCTCGGATATTATAAATTGAAATATCGCTATATGAAATATCTATTCACAAATATGATTATAATTGAATAAAATATATATACATACATATATATATATATATATATATTTTATTCAATTATAATTTTTTGTAATATATATATATATATATACAGGGTGTCCGGTAACTAACGGACCAATGATTAAGGGCGGATTCTCTGACTAATTTGGAGACGATTTTTCCTTAGCAAAAATGTTGAGAAGTCAATAATTTTCGAGTTAGAAGCGATTAAAAAAATGGGTTTTTTTGAAAACTAAACGTTTTGGAGTTAAAAGTCTAACATAATTACATTCTTCAGTTAATTTCAGGTAGAGTTTACTATAATAAATTTTAATTTGAGGCAGTTATAAAGATACATAATGACAAATATTGGAAAGTTGTAAAAAATGATGATCTTTTTCGACATTTTCGCTGAGGAAAAATCGTTCCCAAATTGACCAAAGAATCCATTTGTGATCGTTGGTCCATTAGTTACCGGACACCCTGTGTATATATTACAATAAAAAAATTAAATATTATCCGTACAAAATACGCGTTTGCTCTTCTGTTTCTGCATTATTTATATATATATATATATATATATTTCTCGGATATTATGTACCTTGAAAGTTTATAGATTTTATTTGAAATTTTGTATACACACATAGATGATATAATTGAATAAAAAACATACAATAAAAAATAAAATATTATCCGTACAAGACACGTTCGCGTTTGCGCAGGTTTATGGGTTATTTATGGATTACTCTCCAACAATACGGTGGTGGCGAAATGGATCCTGCAAAGATGACGATTCAGTACGCGTGGAACATCAGTATCGATCATCATAGATTCGGAGAGATGTTCATCGCGGGCGGAGTGCTTTACGCTATACACAGTGTCACCGAAGAAACTATGAAGATACGGTAAAGAAAAAAGAATTATTCTTGAAAAACCCCGTAAACAAATATCCCGTGTAAATTTGTCAATTTCCCTCAATATACAATTTCCCAATCATTTGTTCTCTGCTCATCAGTGTTCATTATTCGTTTTTTGCCACTGCGAAAAAAATATTTTTAAAATTATTATTTTATTTCTTTTAATTGGTATATTATCATATTATATTTTTATTTATATTATTTTATTCCGTTTCTCATATATGCATATTTTATGTGAAATTGTTTTTATATAAAATATGCATATATAATTATACACATTTTATATAAATATATGAAAAGGAAAATAATGATGATAAATATTATTGGAAATATATTAAGGAGACCTGTTCACGAATAATTAAATGGAATGTCTGTGTGCCTCGCTTTTTCTGAGCACAAAAATGATCATTATTATACCCGAGCGACCCAATTTCGCAGATTTGCCTTCGATCTGTATCAAGAAACGATGCGGGACGTTTCACTGTCGTTCACGAATCCGTATCACAAGACCACAGCGGTCAGCTATAATCATAAAACGAAGGTAATATAGCGAGAAACACCTTTCACCGTTTCGCGTTCTTTCGCTCAATTATGCTCATTTATGGTTTCCTTTTGCAGGAGCTGTATACGTGGAACAAGGGCAACCAATTAGCCTATCCCGTGAAATATCGTGACGAATTAATAGGAGGAGGCAATTAAAAAAGTATTTTCTTCGGAAATATACGGTGCGTTGTTAATCGCCGTTAATTAATGAGGAACTTTAACATATTAACGCGTCCTCTCATTCTTCGATCTTATAGCTCTTCTGAGCCCTCTATTTATCCGATGTACGAAAATAATAAACAAGATCAATCGATGTGAGTAAATATTGTTTATTTAGTTTAGCGCATACGTAAATGTATTCTAACGAGGGATCATTAAATATATATTTTTATCTGTAATTATGCAAAATATCATTTAATTGTACTATAATTGTTTTTTTACAAAGATATGTATATTATCAATGCATAACGATGCCGGTATAATATATATGTATGTGAGCGAGTGTAATAGTTTTTTAAATACAATTATCGAGATCTATTCATTCGTTGATGAATCTTGTATCTTAACATTTCACCTTCGCATTTTTTGTACTCCAAAATAATATATTATAATTTTAAAAAATCTGAATTTTACTTTTGCTTATCGCTAAAGAAAGTCGATACACAAGGAACTGATTTAAACTAATAAAATATTTTTAAATTATTATTATTTTGTTTTTTATATATATTTATATATTATCATATATTTTCATATTATTATATTTTATTTATATTATATTTTCATTTATTATCATTATTTATATTATATTATTTTTATTTTGTTTTATATCTATATTTTATGTAAATTTTTTTATATAAAATATGTGTATATATTATCATATAACTATTACATATAATTAATTATGCATCCATAAACATGTCATAGATAAAGATGTGAATTACTTTACATGTGGCTTTTATCGTTTTAACGATGTTAAAAACAGGATACGCAGTTGAGTTACATAAATACACACACACATGCACACACACATATTACATTCTAATTTTATAAATATTGTTGAATAGTGTATAAAGACGATAAAGTAAATATCTATACATATACATCGACGGAGTGACGGAGGTGTCGAAAGTGCGCACACGTGTGTGTGTGTGTGTGTGTGTTCGATATGATAATATATATACATAATTTATATAAAAAAATTTACATAAAATATAGGTATAAAACAAAATAAAAATAATATAATATAAATAATAATAATAAATAAAAATGTAATATAAATAAAATATAATATAATAATATGAAAATACATGATAATATATAAATATATTTAAAAAACAAAATAATAATTTAAAAAATATTTGTTCGCGCACACACACACACGCACACACACACACACACATATATTTACATTCTAATTTTATAAATATTATTCAACAGTGTATAAAGATGATAAAATAATATCTATATATTCGACGAAGTGACAGAGGTTGTGAAAAATGCGATATAAACTGCGTCGAATAAGAATTATTATATAATCCTTGTAGAAATTTATCACTAGTAACACCAATTAATCACTTATTTCGAGTACTTAAAATACTGATATACAGTAATTTAAGTACTCGAAATAAGAAATAAATTAGCGTTAATAGTGATAAATTTCTATAAGAGAAACTGCGTTTCTTCTTTCGCAACTATATATATATGTGCGCAACGCAACAATCGCGAGTTTCTCTTCTCTCATGGACACGATGAAACTTTACGACAATAAAACAATAGTGCGAACAGTCCCCCGAAGGAGCTGCGATAATTATAATACCTGGACAGTGCTGTTATCTAAATAAAAATGTAAATTATAAAAGGGATATAAATAATTGTGTTTACATAAGCAGTCTTAAAAATTATTATCTGGAAAATTATTTACATAAATCGCCATATAATTTAATCTTTTATCTAGATATATTATATTTGATTTATATTACATTTTTATTTATTATTATTATTTATATTATATTATTTTTATTTTGTTTTATACCTATATTTTATGTACATTTTTTATATAAAATATGTGTATATATATTATCATATAACTCAAACAAAATCATTTTTATCTTATCTAGATGAATTTATCTATTTTTATCTTCCTTTACCTACCTTTATCTAGCTAATCTTAAAATTATCTAAGCACAACACTATACTAGGAGTATACATAATAAGCATTCCACTTCCTATACTGGCTTCCTTCTGGGGCAAACTACATTCGTAGTAGGGGCCCGAGACTCGAGAGGATAAATGTGAAACGGCTACAATGTAAGACCACTTAAAACCCGAGTGCAGTAGAGTTCGGAAATTCGCGGTTTCCGTTCAGTTTCGTTCACTTATGCGATTTAACACTCGACTCGACGCTTGATATCATGGTCGCGCGAACTCGGTGACAGTGTGAAGAAGAATTAAGAAGAGAGAAAAATTGTCAGTTGAAATTTGCGAGAGACTACATCTATAAACCAGTCAATTGTCTCCCCCCCGACAGAGAGTAATTGTCATCATTCTTCAATATCGGCAATGGGCGCAGCTGTCAGTACTGACATTGCCAGTCTGGGGTAGGTCAATGTGCAAGTGGGTTAAAGGATATATTAAAGTGCGAGTGATCTTTCGAATCTCTGCCTTTCTTTGTACATACAACAATCAGTGTTTGCTGTTATCTAAATAAAATATATCTAGATGAAATTTTCGCGTTATCTTATTTTTATATAGATAATAAAAATATGTATCGTCTATATCGGTATCTTGTATGAAAACAAGTATTATCTTTACTAAATTATCTAGAATAATTTTCAGATAATTTTAGTTTAGAATCATAGGACATAAAAATAGTAGAACTTAAGCAGTAAGCGATAAAAATTCATAAATAAAAATAGGAATACATTTACTTTTATATCCGTTTTATAATTAAATTTTGTTCTTTGTAACTGTGTTTACATAAGCAGTCTTCAAAATTATTATCTAGAAAATTATCTGCAGATGAATCCATATAATTTTATCTCTATCTAGATATATTTAAAACAAAATCATCTTTATCTTATCTAAGATAAACTTACATATTTTTATCTCATCTTTATCTAGCCAATTTTAAAATCATCTAAGCACAACATCGATAACAATAATATAATTCCTCGTTTATCGAACTCTGTCATTTCATACGTTGAGTTCTCTCCATTTTCGCAGCATTTATCGATATAATCATGTAATTGAACTAGCAATTAGCTTAATTACATCGACCACTAACAAAATTGATCTTATATCACTGGTGTCAGTGATCTGCGACGAAGTGATACCTGCTTATCATAATAAGCATTTAATCTGTTTGTCAAAATAAGTACTTCAATGTGCAACATGGATATCGGTTACAATGTCAACTTTAACTTTTCTTACAGTGATATCATTTCTCACAAAAGAAAAAACTCATGTGCCTTGTTTTTATTTTTCTCGATTGTTCAATCAACACGCTCTTCGTGTTTGCGATTAAAGTATCCCAGCAAACGCCGATATATAATTGTTACATTGCTATAACAAAACGAAATATAACAGGTAATATAACGTGTACGTTACCTGTAACATCCATGTTAGTTGTAATTTCCAACTCATAGATGTAACATTTTAATATAACATATATTACATTGTAGTTATATTGTAATTATATACCAAATAGCACATTAATGTATTGATAAGTCAGTGCTATGCTTGGGATATAATGACAATATAATTACAATGTAATATATGTAATATTAAAAATGTTACATCTATGAGTGGAAAATTACAACTAACGTATACGTTACATGTAACGTGCTTGAGTATATAACATTTATATAATGTGTTTGCTGGGATATATATATATATCTATATATATATATATGTAATATTGAGCTTACCTATTATGGAATCGCACACATACGCAAGGTTAAATAAATTAACATTATTAAATGCGCAACATTGAATTTTTATTTCCTCCGCTTCTTTGTTATATTTCTTTTCTTTTCATTTTGTCTCGTCAGGATAATCGCTTTCGTGACGAAAATATTTAAAAAAATAAACGTGAGCTGCACCCCCGCGATAACTATGATAACTATGATATCTTCACAATGTTGTCATTGTTGTGTGATTGTAATCCTTCTTTTGCTCTATTCCGTTCTGTTTTGACACGAATATGACTTGCGTAAAATAAAAACGCTGAGGAATAAACGTATTTGCGCTTATAACGAAGCACGATCAAAGTACATGACTTGTGTAAGAAAATCGTCACGAATCCGTAATTGTCTTCTTCTTTTTCTTCTTCGGGTTTGATTGGCGTCGAGTGATGCCATCGATTTAAGTACCAAGACATTTTCTTCGTTCTCTTCTTCCTTGGGTCGATTAGCACCAAGTGAATGGTAATTTTTATTTAAATATGTATATTTAAAACCAGTTGTTCCCAAGAAGTCATGATTTATTAAAATAGTCGTGCAGAGAAAATAGAAATTTGAGTGAACATATTATCCTGTTGTGCGATTATTATAAGATATTTGATTTCGTTACAGATAATATGTATACATATATACATACCTATGTCTTTTTTTATATATTTGTCATTAATTTGTATGAGAATGATGCAAACATTGGAATCATTTAAAAAATTATTTTAATATAAAAAAAGTAACAAAAAATTGAATTAAATTTAAAGAATTAAAAAAGAAGAAGAAATTTTAATCGTGCTCCAAGGATAGAACTAACTTATAATGTCACGGTGTGCAATTTGAGGAAAATGATTATTTACAGAGAAGTTTAGTGTCCGTCATGTTTTTATTTCTTCCGATTATTTAATCAGGTTCCTTTGTAAAAATTTGCACGATTAAAGTATTTGTTTCGCAATGTTGTTTCGCAAGATTATATATATTATTGAACACTCAACATCATTCGATATTTTTTATCTTCCGCCGCTTCTTTTTCATACATTTTTTTATTCGTGTCACCTTTGCCTCGTTATAATCGCTTTCGTGACGGAAAGATTCAAAGGAATAAACGTGAGATACGCCCACGCAATATAACAATAATATCTACTTTGTACTATCATGTTATGTGATTTTAATATCGCTGAGTGCGATGTCGTTTTAACTTCTACTTCTTCTGTTTTTTTCTTTTCTGTTTGTTCTATTTTAATCATAAAAATAATTGTTTTAAAATAGAAGAAAAACGCAAAGAAGTAAAATAAGTATTTCCACTTATAAGAATAACGAGAAAAATACGATAAAATGCGCCTTTTGTCTTTGTGCAATTTTTTGAGTGCAAATCGTCGTTCAAAAAATTCTCTGTTCTGTTTTTTCAATTTGTTTTTATTCCTCTTCTGTTGCCAAAAATCGCTCATGCTATAAAAAAGTATACAAAGAAACGTATTCGCAAAATTCCGCACTCAGAATGCAATCGTGCATAATTAAAGGAAAAAAATATACGAAATGCTTCGCATGTTGCGTCACAGTTTCATCTTCTTTTCGGACGATCGATGGCTCGGAATCGGTTTATTTCGCCAGTTTTGTGAACAAGCAATTTTGTAAGAACGCTTGAAATTAAACTATCAAGATATATCTGATGATCCGATTATGTAATTAGCTTGATGCACTTATGCCAATAATCTTTTCAAGAGATCGCACTTATCGAAATAGACCGAGAATTTGACGTTTATGATCGATGAAGAAATACATAGTGTATCAGTGAAGAAAGTATTAAGTCACAATGTTATCTTAATTTTTTCTTTATTCATACTTATTGCTATCTTTGAAAAGTTCATTATCGTTCATAAAACGTTTTTAAATGTCCTTTATCTAAAATTATTTTGTAAACGCATGTCAAATCGTCAAGTATTATATTTAATCTGTTTACGGCCTCAAGATTGAATCTCAATTAATCAATGTCACTCAAATCTCAGAAGAGATTTCATATCTCGAATAATTGTGATTTCATCCTATTAATGCAATGTTTGTTGTTATCTAAATAAAATTATAAAGATGATCATCTAGATGAAATATTCGTTTCCAACACAACAACACTGTTAATATATAAACTCAAGTTCTTATTACACATTAAACGGATATAAGTCCAAGATTTTCAAGCTCCATTTTTCATGATTTACGTGCAAGATGTAGTAGAAACTTACCACCTGTTTCTGAATGGAACTTTTATTACCCGCTCGGTGCCGTAAATTCAGGAGAAAGAAGAAAAGAAGCGTGCTATTTTTATTAAAATCAATACTCGTTTTCCATTTTCCATTTGAAGCGAAACATTTCAATATCCCCTTTTTTCCATCATAAATATTTGTTCATTTTAGTTTACCAATCACAGGAAAGATTACCTTCGAAGATTACCAGTGATACATTTCGAATCGTCGACCCTAAAATAAAGTCGATAGTATTGTCTCGTACGCTTTTAGTTGGATGGAAAACGGTGAGGCTGACATACGAAACAAGTCAGCGAAATCGAATGCTCGAAAGTAGTTCAGACACATCGAACCGTCGAGAAGCATCGATTTAGCGTGATGCATATGCAACGCTGATACTGAGATACAAAAAGCTTGGTTAAAAAAAGATGACTTGGCGCAGACAACGAATGTATTTCTTTACATCAGCTATTTTCTTCCCAAAGCTCGCATTACAAAATGGAATTTGTATAATGTGTAACATTGCATTTTGTTTTCTCTTCGTTTTTTAACGCGAAAACATTTTCGAACGGATATTATATTATTCTTAATTAAATATTTAAAGAATACCGAAATATTGAGAATAATTTTAAAAATTATAAAAAATGTTTTAAATGTAAATAATTTAAAAAATTATAATATAAAAAATTATAATATAATAATTTAAATAATTTGAAAAATAATTTAAAAAATGTAAAAAATTAAAATTGATGTAACATATTTCCGTGTGAATCTAGATTTCGCGATGACATAAACATGAAAAAAATTGTTTTGCTATAACGTATCGGATATTCAATTGGACTATATATTTATAACATCGAGGATTGAATTGATTCGAGATGTACATCGATATCAATTTTTGATACGAATTAATTGTTTAACAATCGCATGTCCGTCCGTCTATGCAAAACCTCGGGAAAGTGAGGAGAAAACCGATACAATGTCGAGCGTTGAAAACGAACATTGGAAAAACTGCACACTCGATGTATATCGCAACAAGTTTTATAAAAAAAGAGAATCGCATATACTTGGCAGTAGCAATTTCATAGTCATTTTCAAGTGAAAATAAAAAATAATATAGTATATACGGATTAAGATAATCATTTTCTCGTAGAAGTATTCTTTCTATCTAATTGCTTCAAATAAGCAGAAAAATAATACAAAAACATTTCAATTAAAAAATACAAAATATATAAGCATTTTTTAATTCAAATGTTCAGAAACTCTTGATATTCAAAATTTATATGTATATGTTACTCGTTAAAGTCAATAATAATACATATATATCCTTAACACAATAATTAAAATGTCGAAATTTTTGTCTTAATTAGAAAGTGCAATAATTTATTTAATTATTCCAATGTCTCGTCGTAGAGTTGAACCAAAAACAAAAAATATGAGAAGAAAAATCAGTTCAAAAATTATACGAAATTTCCAAAATATAAAAAGACATTAGTAGGTTTAAAAAAAAACAACTTCCGTCGAGATTAACCAAGTTTTTCATTCAGTAGCGCGCTTCAAGCATCGGTGTTATATATATAATTACGTTACGAAATCAAGTGATTATATCGAGATTAGAAGAGTCGTTCGCGGATATTAGATACGACATAGCTCAGAATGTTACAATGTTCGGCGTAATATAAATGACCGTGCAGAATTTACACATACATATGTATGACAAAACGATAAAATCTCATTACGTACATGCATAGGCGTCCGCAGAGTCCCTTCCTTGGAATCAGTAAAAAAAATTAAGCATTTGCTCTTCTTTTGAATAAACGATAAAATTTATTTACATATTTAATATAAAAAAATGAAAATAAGACAAGATAAAAAAGTTAATGTTTTTAAATGAAGAAAGAACAATTTTAAAAATAAATTATGCCCCCTTCTAGAAGAAATTCTGCGGAGCCCCATGTATACATGAATATGTAATATGAAATATAAAGAATGAATATGAAAATAAAACATTTTTTAAAATTTAAAGTGTAAGACAGGCAATAAGAGCCAAATCGCGGATGACAGTGCGTTATCCTAACGAAACTAAAATTTTTTCCGTTAGAATTAAATACTTGTTAAACTCTTAAATTTTTTTAAATTAAGAAAGAAGAATTTTTTAAAATGAATTATGCCCTCTTCGAGAAAAAATCCTGCGCGCGCTCATGCATACATGAATATGGAAATAATTGTGGATGATGCGTTAATAATGCGCTACAGGAAACAAGATTCCGCGTTTATCGTCAATTTTCCGATAACAAAATGAACGTCGGATTACGGGGGAGAAAAAAATTGCCTCATTATTAGTTAATCACGACAGCGACGATCGTTAATCATTACGCGCTGCATAATTCATCTCATCGCTGAAATTACGCCTCGCGAATGAGAGTACTATCTTAAATGTGATTAGGTAAGTCTCTCGTCAGTTATGTGTAATAAGTACTTGTTTCTCGTGTACAACCTTCATCACAAGATTTCGAGAAAATTGCCACGTCATTGTTCCTTTTTGCGGCAAACCCCTTACACAAGATATTTCAAATACCTCCGTAATGGAAGTGAATTTTTTATACGCTGAAAAAAATTGAGTAACTTGACTAACCTTTTAATTAAATTACTATTTTGTTAATTAAACATATATTTAGTATTTAAGTCAAATATACGTTTTTTTAGATTTAATGTTATATTTAATTTAAATATTTTTATATATTTTAATTAACAAGATATGGTTTAATCAAGTTAACATTTCTTTCAGTGTACTTATTATTTTAATTATTTTAATATTTGATAAATTTAAACATTAAATAGAATTATGAAACAGATTATTATTCGAATTTGTAGATCTAAATATGCCCCGGTATAATTTTTAATTTTCAATCAATTTTTTCACTAAGGAAAAATTGAGTTTGTTCGATAAAAAGATTCTTTTTTTTCAAGTATCCTTTTTTAAAGTTTTTAAACTAAAGTTCTTTAAAGAAGGCTTTAAAGTGTTCTTTCTTTAAAACGATTTCCTATTTTTAAAGAGTCATCAGTGCACATCCTGATACACTCTCTTTATCTCTCTTTCTCTCTACGCATAGTCAATATATATATATATATATATAAGCTTTCAAAATCATATCGGAGTCTTAATTAAACATATAACGAATATAATATAATATAAATAATTTCTTTATACAAAAATAATATTAATTCAAATACGAATCACAAACGAAAATTGTTCGTACGTGCTTAAAAATTGGAAAGTATTTAATAATACTAATGAATCAGATAGCGGAACTTGTTGAAAAAAATATAAATAAACTCTTAGGTTTGACAAAGATAAAATTAATTTACAGTGTACAATAAGCTTTCTGCAATATCGCATTATCTTTCAATCTGGTTACACACACAAACAAGTAATATTTTTATTACTTGTTTGTGTGTGTAACCAGTTGAATTCATGAGAGCATAACGAGCTACGATTTCTCCCGTTTAATTAAATGCTGAATAGCTGTAAACATTTATTAGTACCTGACCCGTTTGGTTAGTTTCTAACTCTGTACAATTGTAAATGTTATTGCATATTTGCTAACATATATAAATAGCCAGTGTAATAGTATAATTTCACATCCAACTCAGTGAGAAAAACTTTATAAAACTTTATATTTAACGTTAACATAATGTAGAATATCTATATATATTTATATTTAAGAGGGGATATATTTTACATAAAATTTTACACAAAATCTAAATAGAACGTAAGAGAAAAAAGAGAAAGAAAGAGAGACGTTAATTAATAATTGATTAGACAAGAAGAGAAGCAACAAAAGTAATATAAATTATTTACATTATCTTCAAATAATAGATTATTCTAAAATATGTAATACAACACATATTAAATATAAAACTTTATATAATTTATATGAGTGTATTGTAAAATTAACTATTACATTGATTATATGTATTATTTGATTATTAATAATTTTTAACAATTTGTTAATTATTTAAAACTCATGTTTACAACAAAATTTCTTATACTGAATTCGCATTATTGCATCTGATGTAATAACTAATCTTATTTTTCTACAGTGAATTTATTTTGCACTGCGTCATTACATTATAGCAAACGTATATATTGACTTTGATACAATAAATCATCGCTAAAAATATATGCATCTTATGTAAGCTTTATTACATAAAAAATGCCAAGTGCACGCATCAATTCAAAAAGTCATCGTACAAAAATTTATTTGAATCTGTATTTTATTCGTCCTCTATTAAGTCTGTTTTTTCTACAAATGCGACGAAAAATTACAATTGAAAATTACAATTATAAAACACATTATCTATATATACAGAATTTAATTTATTAACACGTTTCCATATTAAAATTGTTTTATCCAACAAAATGTAATATGAATGCATAAATTAATTAAATATTTATATATATGCATTTTAATAACAAAAATCCACAACATATATTCTGTAATAAATAATTTCTCCAAAAGTACTGACAAAGTAGTTAAAAATTTCAAAAATATCAATGTTATAAGAATAAAAAAATAGCATTATGTCTGATAAAAAATTATTATTAATATCTCCAGATATTGTATCAAAAGTTATCATATAAATTAAAATATGTGAAAATTATTCTGTGGAAATAGATTTTTGTAGTGTAAAGATGTAATAAGAGTTACAAAAAATTAATATTTATTTCATGATTTACATTATGCAGTGATAAACTACAATAATAACAATTAATATTTAATCTGCTGATTGAAAACACGAGAGCTATTACGCACAATCAGCCTCGTAAATGACAGCATGATTTAGTACTTTTTACTAAAATGTATATATCACAACTCGTCGCAATATGGCTATTTACAGTTGAGAGAACAATAAAGTGTTTCTCTCGACGATTTTTCTCAGCAGCGGGAGAATAAATGAAAAAGTAGATTTTAAGAAATAATATGCGAGCATTATGTAAAACAGAATCACTAAACGACCTTCTTGTGCATATCGTTTTCATTCAACACATATATGTCGCCAAGAAGAATTTTATGTTTGTTTAACAAAATTTGATCATTTTTAATCGCTTATCCGTGAAAAATGCTTTTCATCACCTTTCTATATCACGCAAAATGTTGAAAATATCACTGTTAGAAAAATAAAAAAATAGCACTATGCACTAATAAATTCTATTGTTATCTCTATATATTGTATATCAAAAAATTATCATATAAATTAAAATATATAAAAATTATTCCGTAGAAAGAGAGAACATTTTTGTAGTGTAAAAATGTAATAATAGTTACAAAAAATTAATACTTATTTCATGATTCACAATGTGCGGTGATAATCTATATACCTATATAGGGTTCGATATACAGATTGAATATTAATTGCTACTATATATATATAGAGATTATCACTGTACAATGTGAATTTCGAAATAAATATTAATTTTTTGTAATTATTCTTACATTTTTACACTACAAAAATATTCTCTCTTTCTACGTAATAATTTTCATTTATATTAATTTATATGATAACGTTACTATATCATACAAAACAATTATTTCAATGTATAAGTACAAGCAATGTCAAACATTATTTATATGTCGTTTATCTAGAAATGTTTGTGTGCATAATCTTATCATAGTCGCTTTACGCAATCATCGCTTTCCTTCAAAAGAATTCTTATATCTGATAATTTGAATTTTTACGTATTATTATTATTATTATTATTATTATTATTGAAAGGTACATCTTATAAGAATCTCGTAGACGAAGGATTGATTCGTATACACATCGGCACAATTGACAGTTGACAATGTCAAAAACATCAATATTAAAGTTTTCTTGTAAAAAGAGTGTAGGGTAAGTTTTTACCACCATCAAAAAATTATTTCTTCTCTAAAATGTTTTATAATATTTATGCTGATCTATTTATTTTATGCGTATAAATGCGACAAACACAAAAACAAGCGCAAAAAGCTTCGTGCAAATTTAGAAGCTTTTGAATTCTATCTTTAAAAAAAAATTTAAAAGAAAAATCTAAAAAAATCTTACAAGAAAATTCTAAAAAAGAAATATATCTGTTTGTAATTATTTTCATGTTAATATCTTTTGTTGTTAATATCAAGTGCATGAAATATAAATGAAAAAAAATTCTAAAAAATTTCAATTCGGCTGACAATATTAAAATTCTACTTAATTTAATTTAACATTTCATTGCAGGGATACCAAGAACTCCGTTAAGTTTACAATTAATGGAGTCCCACACGAGGGTACGTATTTTCTTTTTGAAAATGTCTAATTTATAGATAATATATATTAATTATAGAAAGATGAAAAAAAAGTTTCGAGTTAAACAACAGAATAAACAACAATACGATTATATTATAACAATATATAATTGAAATAATAAAGATTCAATTACGAAAGTCTATAATTATATGGCGGAAATCACAGAACTTGATAATGAAAGTTTAATTGTAATGTAGCAATAACGATTATAATCAATTATGAAAATTTAATTGCAACACTATAGAAGCTCTGTATTCAATTATCATGAAAATTTAATTGTCATAACAGCTTTCGGAATACTGACATTCTGAATTAAAGTCGATACTTCACAGGTGCATACATATATATGTCGTTTCGCGCTGTACGTTTTATCGTGCAGCTCTCTTCCGTTGATTTTATAATATCGCAAACTCGCTTTCAGTTTCGGGAGACATACCGGCGAACACGTCCCTCAACGTTTACATTCGCGACTATGCGAAACTCCGCGGCACAAAGGCCATGTGCCACGAGGGTGGCTGCGGCGCTTGTATCGTGGCTGCGGAAATCAAGGGAGAGACAATGGCCGTGAATTCTTGCCTCGTACCGATATTAATCTGCGACGGGTACGTATATATATATATATATATATACATGCGGCGTAATTTCATCCACAATTTGGAATCCAACTTCGCCAAGAGAAGGAGTTACATTACGTGCCGAAAATTTAGCTTGTGCAGGGTGTAGTTAAAAAGATGCGAAAAATTTTAGGAGATAATTCTTTGTCGAAAATATTGAAAGGGGATTTCTTATATATAAGAGTTAAGTTCTAATAAAAAAATTAAATAGGGATTGTTAGTTTTATCCCCTTATAACGATAGGAAGATAACAAAAAATATCCTTTTTATTAGTGGAAAATATCCACCAAGTTTTATCTTTTTAATTTGTCTAAAATTTGAAAAAAAATAAAAATTCAGGGAGAGATATAAGAGTATATGTTAATATAAAAAACTCCCCGTAATTTTCGACAAAGAATCCATCTCCTGTTTACACTATATATCTTCGATAAGATTTTTCAAATCTTCTCTATTTAATTTAATCTATCTTATCTTTAATATTGAAGTTATCTTCATTCTTTTTATCTATATAAATTTTACTTTCTTTCTCGTCGAGATTGCGACGAATTTTATCTTCGTGTCCTACATATCTCTTATCGAAAATTTCACAGATGGGCAATTCAAACGATCGAGGGGATAGGAAACAGAAAAGATGGCTATCATTCGATTCAGGCTGCCCTAGCTGGAAAAAATGGCTCGCAATGCGGATACTGCTCCCCAGGCATGGTGATGAATCTTTACAGGTATAACGAAGAAATTGGAAAAAAGGCATCATCCATTGGCGTCCAGAGGGAAAGAGGAGACATTTGCCTCTCCTTGGAATCAGTAAACAAATTAAGCATTTGCTCTCTTTTGAATAAACCCTGGAATTTATTTACATATTTAATATTAAAAAAAATGAAAATAATAAAATAACAAAAAATAAGAAACAAAAGAATTTTAATTATGCCTCCCTTGGAAAAAATTCTGTGGACGCCCATGGCATTATCCCTTTTTTAATTAATTCAAACATCGTGTTCCAGCATAAATATTGGCTCGTTTATATCCGCCGTTTAACGTAGCGTATCGTTAACTTTCAGTCTCACGAAAGACAAGAAATTAACGATGCAGGAGATCGAAAATTCGTTTGGCAGCAACATCTGTCGATGCACCGGTTATCGTCCGATTCTGGAAGCGTTTAAAGGATACGCCAGTGATGCGCCTCCCTCATTGAAAAGGGGTATTCTCGATATCGAGGTAATCGGGAGGAAAAGTTCTGTTTCAATCGCCGAAACTTTGTTCCCTTCAGTTTCATTAATTTTATTCATCAGTTTCATTCGATCGTTATATGAAATTTTGAATTATATTTTATTCTTATAATATAATACTAACAAATTATTATTATTTTATTTATGAGATAATATTTTTATGTATTTTTATTATATATTTTATTAATATTTTAATTATTTAAATATTTTTATATACGGATTATATAAGAGTGCAATAATATATATGTTTTGTAGGAAATTTACAACATTAAAACGTGCCCGAAGAACGGGCTGCCATGTACAAACGATTGCGCCGATAAACAATCAAACAACAATATAAAGTTTAATGTAAAGTTGGAAGATACGGAATTCCATAAAGTTTACTCGATCGAGGATCTTTTCGCGGTATTTAAAGAGAAACCAAAGGCCAAGTACATATTAAACGGCGGCAATACGGCGCACGGTAATTTTCAAGAGAAGTTCTCTCATTTATACAAAGTTTAACTATTTATATTATAATAACAGAAGAGTACGAAGCGTGTACGTTAGTCAGCTTTTTTTATAAATATGTGCATTAAATTGCAATGTGTACAAACATGGAGCTTGAAACATATTTAATGCACAAAAATTATCCCTTGAGACGGATTACCTTTAAATTACCTCAGATTACTTAAGATTATACTGAAAAAAATTTGTTAACTTTGTGACTAAACATTTCCACAAAATTACTATTTTGTTAATTGAACATATTATATAGTATTTAAGTCAAATATACGTTTGTTTGATTTAATATGTTGCATTTAATTTAAATATTTTTAATGTTCAATTAATAAAATAATATTTAGTTGAAAGAGAGTCAAGTTAACAAATTTTTTTCGCGTAAAAAATCCATACGCGAATAGACAGCCAATATACAAAGTGTTTCGCTTCTATCGCATTATTTTTAAAAGTGAAATATTTTGTGTCATTTCTAAATACTCTTCCCTCGCCTAATATAATGATCTCTCCTCCGATATTAAAATTTATATTTCGAATCAATGTCAATAAACATTCAGTATAGTATCACCAATTAAATAAGACTTAATGCAACACATATCCAAGAATTCAAACCTTGTAGGTGTCTATCGCACGAGCAAGAACACCCTTCACATCGACATAAACGACATCCCGGAGCTGCGTCGCATCGAGAAGACCGATAAATCTTTAACCCTGGGCGGAGGTATATCGCTCACCGTGGCGATGGAGACCTTCCAGAAGTACTCGTCCGAGGCGGGCTTCAAGTACCTGCATCACCTGGCTCATCACATCGACCTGATCGCCAGCGTGCCGGTACGCAACATCGGCAGTATCGCCGGCAACCTGATGATCAAGCACGCGCACAACGAATTTCCGTCCGACCTGTTTTTAATGTTGGAGACCGCCGGTACCCAGATACATATTCTCAAGGGACCCGGAAGCAAGGAAAGCATGATGCTGCAAGAGTTCCTCAAGACCGACATGGAACACAAGATCATCTACAGCGTGGTACTTCCGGCACTGTCCGACGATTACGAGTATAGATCTTACAAGATCATGCCAAGGGCACAGAACGCTCACGCGCACATAAACGCTGGCTTCCTTTTCAAGCTCGGTGGAGACGGCAAGGTATAATCGTGTTTCCAATTATTTTGTCATTCGTCATGCCTTATCTATACCTAAGAATAATCCTACTTGTGTATTTATTCCAATGAGTCGTATAGATCGTAAACCATACTGAAGTTGGTTTTTAATCGTAGATCAAAAACCATACTAAAGTTGGTTTTTAATCGTAGATCAAAAACCATACTGAAGATGGTTTTCAATCGTAGATTAAAAACCATACTGAAGGTGGTTTTTAATCGTAGATCAAAAACCATACTGAAGTTGATTTTCAATCATAGATCAAAAACCATACTGAAGTTGGTTTTCAATCATATATCAAAAACCATACTAAAGTTGGTTTTCAATTGTAGATCAAAAACTATACGGAAGTTGGTTTTCAATCGTAAGTAAAAAACCATACGGAAGTTGGTTTTCAGTCGTACACCACAATCGACAAAAATTACGATTAAAAACCAACTTCAGTATGGTTTTTCATCGTTTATACTACTCGCTGGAATAAGTCACAAGTACAGGATTATCAATAGATATAGATAGGGTATTAGTCGTTAAAACGATGAGTTTACTCGAGATTTCGCTGTAGGTGCTGGAGAAACCCAACATTATCTTCGGTGGTATCAATGAGCACTTCCTGCACGCGAAGAACACGGAGGCGGTGTTGATGGGTAAATCGATCCTCAACGAAAGCGTGCTGAAAACCGCCCTGGACACCCTGCACAATGAACTGCAGCCTGACCACGTGTTACCGGATTATTCGCCGGAATTCCGCAAAACCCTCGCCGAAGGATTGTTCTACAAGTTTGTGCTGAGCATCAAACCGGAGAACGTGAATCGCAAACTTCGCAGCGGAGGCAGTATTTTGGAACGAGAGGTCTCTTCAGGTAGAATAATCAGCAAAATATATTTTTTTCTTCAAGTTTTATCTTCGCGTTCTCAATTAAAAATATTAATCAAGCAATTTTGACATTAAAAATGTATAGAAATATATACAGGGGGTCCCAAAACGTAAACCTGTTAATGGCAGATTCTTGGGATCATTTGGAAATGATTTTTCTTCAGTATGAAAATGTCGAGGGGGACCATCATGTGATCCCAAATGATCCCAGAAATCTGCTATTAATAAGTTTACAAATAATTCTGGAACACAGTCTATAAATCTACCGAACCGATCTCTCGAGAAAAAATTGCGCCACGAATTATCACACTGTAATTAGTAATTATTGAAAAATTAAAAAAACATCCAGGTACGCAGGACTACGACTCGGACAAGAGCACGTGGCCGGTGAACAAGCCGACGGTGAAGCTGGAGGCGATCCAGCAGACGTCGGGCGAGGCTCAGTATTGCAACGATCTGCCACCGTATCCCAGAGAAGTGTTCTGCGCCTTCGTCTCCACGGAAATCAGTAACGGCAAGATCAAAAGCATCGACGCGAGCAAGGCGCTGGCCCAGAAGGGAGTGGTGGCGTTCTTCACCGCCAAGGACGTGCCTGGCAAGAATCTGTTCACCTCAGCCGCCAGTCAGTTGATGATGCTGATGTTCGACGAAGTCCTGTTCGCCGAGGAGGACGTTCTCTACGCGGGTCAACCGGTCGGCGTGATCGCTGCCGAGACGCAAAACCTGGCGAACGAGGCTGCGAAGATGGTCGAGATCAAGTACAGCGAAGCCCTGCAGAGGAAGCCGGTGATAACCATCGAGGACGCGCTCGCAACGAAGGACGATAGCAGAATCATGCAAGGCGTGAACTCTCCGGCGAAGAAAAAAGGTACAAATTGCTATGGTTGAGGTGTAGATAAAATTTCGAGTTTAAAGATTTCAACGTTTCAGGCAACCTTTCGATATATTAAATTAATTGATAAATAGAATTTAAAGACCTATAATACATTATCGATATATAAGAAAATATCTTGAAATTTTGACAAGGTTTGAGAAAGGTTGATACAAAAATGTGGCGATTTCCGATTTGGGTTTTCGTTATTTCAGGAGAAAATACAAAGCACGTAATAAAGGGTGTCTTTAAGATGGGTACTCAATATCATTACACTATGGAGACTCAATCTTGCGTATGCGTTCCCGTGGAGGACGGCATGGATGTCTATCCAGCTTCACAATGGATAGATAACATTCAAGTAGCTATCGCGGATTGCCTTAATGTCAAGAATAATAGGTGAGTCATTAATCTCCCTACTACGAGGAGATAGTATATAGATACCATATTTCCCCATTAATCCTCGCAACAACATAATTTATGTCTTTATGCGAGCTGTATTTCCGAAAGCCTACATTATCACAAAATGAATTATATATTTTAATTATATAATAAATTAATATTGTAATATATCGCAATAATTTTGCTGCAGCCCTAAGTTTTTAATAAAAGTTATTGCGATATATTACAATTAAAGAACCAAAATTGCAATCAAAAGACATTATTGTCAATCTTTTTTCAATAAATTAATTAGTATTTAATTTATGAGATTAGTTTGGGAATAAAAAGTTTGCATTTTTAAATATTATAATAATAAATAAGTAATTTTAATTTTCGACAGTATCAATGTCAGCGTGAAACGAATCGGTGGTGCATATGGAGCAAAAATTTCGCGCAGTACACAAATCGCGTGTGCATGCGCTCTTGTATGTCACAAACTGAATCGTCCGGCCCGTTTCGTCATGACGATCGAGAGCAACATGCAATCGGTAGGCAAGAGAATTTCAACACGCAATGAATACGAGATCGGCGTCGATGATGAAGGAGTTATCCAGTATCTTGACTCGAAATTCTGGTGCAACAAAGGTTGCGTCTACAACGAGCCTCACTCTTGGGCCGTAGCGCATCACATAGCTAGGTACGTGTCAAAATTGTAGCGAATAATATAAGTAACATTATCCTCAAAAACAAAATTCAGTGTTTAAAAAATTAATTTTTTAAATAATTTTGTCAAACAGAAAAATGTGTCAAGAGAAAGGGAGAAATATATATTATGTAAAAATTAATTAAACCACTCATTAAATTTTATAATCAAAGTTACACACAAAAATTCAACGAGCGGTAAAAATAAGAAATTAATTGAAATAATATGGTAATATATTAATTTATAAATATTACATGAATATTTTTTAAATAAACAAAAAAGTTTAAAGAAAAAGAGAAAATATAAAAATAAATTAAATTACTCACTAAATAATTAAAATTTCACATATAAAATCCAAATTACGAAGATATTAATTTATAAATATTATATATTTAAATAATATTAATACTAACTTAAAAATCGAAGAAAACGTGATAAAAAAATTAAAAAAATATTTCTTTATTATTATAAGACTAGAGATAGAGATTTCTCTAAAAAAAATATTTTTTTGTACAATTGAAAAATAGATTATTCGCTAAAAAATCAAAATATTTTAACAAAGTTTATCTACACTTTTTATATATTCACAATCATTTGTCATTGTCGATTGTTAACAGTTGTTACGTGACTGACTCTTGGACTCTAAACGGATACGAAGTAAAAACTGACATCCCGCCAAACACGTACGCTCGAGCACCAGGTTCTACGGAAGGATTAGCCCTGACCGAACATATAATGGAGCACATCGCGAGGGTGACGAAGAAAGATCCACTGCAAGTCAGACTGGCGAATATGAACGCCGACGACAAGGCTTTGCTAGAAATAATGCTGCGCGACTTGTCAAAATCAGCTGATTACGAGATGCGAAAGCGAGCCGTCGACACATTCAACAACGAGAATCGTTGGAAGAAGAAGGGAATCGCTATAGTGCCGATGATGTATCCGTTCATGTTTTGGGGACAATTCAACGCCATGGTGTCGATTTGCGCGCGCGATGGAACCGTTTGCGTGACACACGGCGGAGTCGAATGCGGCCAGGGTATAAATACTAAGGTACAATATTGTCAGAAAAAATGTCCCAAAATCCCTATTATGTGTTATTTCATACTATATGACTCAGGTAGCAAACTGACTCATTAAACGTCAAAATGTCATAATTAATCTTAATTTTACACGTTACAAAAAGCATAAATTACCCAGCAAATAGCAAACTGACGTCAATAAACGTCAAAAATGATGTCATTTTGATGTTTAATGACATCAGTTTGCTATTTGCTGGATAATTTACGCTTTTTGCAGCGTGTAAAAATTAAGATTAATTATTAATTTTCCTAACAACCTACATATCCAAACGACGTTCATAGAACATCCTGTGGAATTTTTAATTATTTTCCTAACAGAACACATATCCGAAAAACGTTCAAAGAACATCCAGAAGACACCTGAACATCCTGTGGATGTCCTCTGAATATCTTTTGGATATGTGTGCTATTAGGATTGCCGTTATACCTATTTGTATAAAAAGACTTATCTTGTTCTCTCATTTAGGTTGCTCAAGTGGCAGCTTATACATTGGGGATCGACCTCAACTTAGTCACCGTCAAAGCAAGCAATAACATAGTAACGCCCAATAACTCGGTTACCGGAGGAAGTGTTACCAGCGAAAGCTGCGCATACGTAAGGAATTATCTAAACTTAGTTTAATCTTCAGTCGTTTCACGAAAAAATGACGCGATGCATGTAAAAAATACTATGTATTATTAATTGATTAATAATAATAATAATTGAACTCTATATACGGTGGATTTCAGTCCACGATTCAGGCTTGCAAGGAACTTTTAAAGAGACTCGAGCCGATCAAGAAAGACTTGAAAGACCCGAGCTGGAAGGAGCTCGTTTTTGCAGCTTATCTGAAGGATGTTGATTTATGCGCGCGATTTATGTAAGCATCACATTTTTAACGCAGTTTAATAAAATAGTTACATGATTTGATATTTTTCCAAAAATATGGTATCGCGCGATTAGTATCAATTATCCAAACTAAATTTAATCTTTCTTGTAATAATTGCTAACAAATAGTTTATATATATTTTTAATTACATTGTTAGATCAATGCAATCAATATTATCCGATTTAATTTCGAACATCAAGCGATGTTCAGTTTTATATAGAAAAAAGATGTGTCGTAATTTACGCTCATTTTGCTCCTCTTATTTATTTATTATTTAATCAATCGTGCACTTACCTTGACAGGTTCGCGCCTACACGCGACGACACGCTGAAGCCTTACAAGATTTACGGCATCACCATCGCCGAGGTTGAGATCGACCTGTTGACCGGCCAGCACATTGTCAAAAGGGTGGACTTAATGGAGGACGCTGGTATGAGTTTAAATCCGGAGATCGATGTCGGTCAGGTGGAGGGTGCTTTCGTGATGGGATTGGGATACTGGACTTCCGAGGAACTGGTGTACGATCCTAAAACAGGAGCATTGATAAATGACAGAACTTGGGTACGTAATCTTTATTGAGTGTTTCGGTAACGTTTCTAATATCTTCAAAAAACCGCGGTCTATCTTCCCGCAATTTCAACGAGAATCCTAAAGGGAAAGATTAAGTTGATCTCATCGAGTATTCTATTCTCGTTCTAGAACTATAAACCGCCAGGAGCGAAGGATATTCCCGTTGACTTCCGCGTGACCTTCGCCAGGAACATGAGCAATGGACTCGGTGTCCTCCGTTCAAAGGGTAAGATCAGAAACCGCTTGTTTAATCCTTTCGGATTTGCGTCGGATCTGCATTTATTATCAAAAACCAAGGATCTGGATAATTGAAGAATTTTTCGACAATTTTTTAAAGGAATTGTTAACTAGAAATTTTTTTGTACAGATGTCCTATAATAATTAAAAATTTAACTAGATAACATTGATCGGAATTATATAATAACTGCAAAAATTACACTGTTTGGCGGCTAAAAGTGAAAAAAAAACGCAGATCCGAAAGGATTACAGATTGTCAATTAATCAAGAATATTCCTTTGTAGCGACCGGTGAGCCACCGCTTTGTATGAGTTGTGTAATTCCCATCGCGATCCGAAATGCATTGAACTCGGCCAGGGCGGATGCCGGAAATACGGATGTCTGGTATCAATTGGGTAAGTTCTTCTTAGCAAGCAGGGACTGTGTATACTCGTATACTCGATAATATACAGAGTGTCCCATAGGAAATTGCTGAAACTAATCAGCTATCACTTTTTAATGCATGCAGTTATTGAGAAAACAAAAATTGTGTTGGACAGAGGAAAGTCTGCAGTTTTTAATGGATATAAATAAAATGTTTGTATACCACTTAGCACTTTTTTCATTACTTTTTTTCAATTAAATAAACTGGTATACAAACATTTTATTTATAATATATCCCTTAAAAACTGTAGACTTTCCTCTTTTCAATACAATTTTTGTTTTCTCAATAACTGCATGCATTACAAAATGACAGCTGATTAGTTTTAGCAATTTCCTGTGGGACATCCTATACAGGGTGAATCGCCCACTTGGCTTTGAATGTACTATACTACAATCGTTGCAGATGTAGATTGTTTAAATCTTCATTGTACCTCTTCGCTTACATTAATAGAATTATTTCTTTTTAATCGTGTTATTACGTCTTGATTTGTTTTTTCTTATCTCTCTTTATAAAGCCTGATTTGATTGTTATTAAATTTCTTAATCGAGAAAAGAAATAGGTAACAGTTTGAAAGAAATAATCGATTGAACTTTTCCGACCCAATTAATTTCACTTTATTATTTCTTCCAAACTATTATATGCAACGATTACACGCTGATTTAATATTATTTGCGCCATTCAAAGCCATACAACGAATAATATAATAATTTTCGTATTTACAGCGAAAAGTAAAACAAAAAGAAAAAAAAATATTCTAGATCATAGAATTAAGAGGGCGCGTAATTCAGCCTGTATATATAAATTCTTATAATGTATATTATTATATATTAATATATACTCGCGATTATATCTGTATCCGCTCTCGTAATTTTCGCAGATGGACCATTCACCAACGAACGTATACTTCTAAATAGTTTAACCAGCAAGGACAACATGGTGCTCTGAAAGGATGATTCGTTCGCGCACGAATATTAATATTATATATATAATATATACATATAATATAAATATTATATATATATTATATATATATATATATATATATATATATATTTTATATATAAATATATATAAATTTTTATATATATTAAAGCGGCGCTTAAAATAAATCCTATAGTTATTGTCGTTCGTCTCTCTAATATATCTCGTATTCTTTTTTTTCTAACCAGAATAAATTTAGACGCGATTTACAAGACAATACACACATTTTTTTAACATCCGCGGCATCTCGCCGATACAAGAGGTTTCAGGGTAACTATGGCGGCGCGATAGTGATAAATATGTATGTATATGTTTGTAATTAGATTAGATTTAGTCAACAGGCTTTTATAACACAACTAAGGCACACAACTTTTGTTTTATGGTAAATAATTTCAATAAATACTCTCTATTAAACGCCATTGATGTGCTACATAGTAAATATTACAACAACATATCTGCGGTGTATAATTTGTAATTAATGATAATACAATATAAAGTATATGTCGAAGAGAGAGAAATGATAATCGTATATATATATAAATAATAATTCTCAATATAAGTATATATATATATATATATATTTATAACCTCTCTCAAGAGAATCTACAGCAACGATTACCGCATATATATACATACATACATACATACATATATATATATATATATATGTGTGTGTGTATATGTACATGTATATATACGTAGACATCAAACGTTAAACACGTCGACATCGTTTGCATTATTTGCACTTGAGGGTGGATGAGAAGAAGGGCAGAGATTTAGAAAAAAAACGGAACGAAACGAGATTATGGCATATCGGAGGTTTGACATCGGCATCGAAATTACGCAATTAACGTATAATAAAATGTGCATCGAACCTGCGTTCGCCGCAAAATCCGGAGAAAAACATGGAATGTGTGCTTCCTTCCGCGGCACTACTCGCGCCATTCTCAAGACGTCCCGTTACGCTTGAAGTAATCGCTGGATGGCCGATGTTTCTCGATTAATCGATACTTGCTTTTTTCAATTCATCGATATTTTCAATCGATACTCGATTTTTTCACTCAGTATCGCCAAATTATTTTCTTATAATCTTATACATATATATAACATTACACTTTATACATACATTATTGACAGAATAGAAATGTCAGTTCTTCATTTTTATTTCTAGAATAGAAATGAAGGACTTTGAACTTATAATTGAATCTCAGATCCCTTGTGTCTTATGCAAAAGTCTGTGCTTTGGCCCTTTCCGTCTATAATAATACTGTATGTATAAAACGATTCATTAATTTTTTTTATTAATATAATCGATACTTTTATGATTTTTTCTGTTAATCGATTTATTTTTTAACATCGTCCATCCTTAATAATCGCTATTCATCCCTAACAGCACACATATCCCGAAGACGTTCAGAGAACATCCTGAAGATGTTCAATGTCCTCTGAATATCCTCTCAATATCTTTCGTATATGTTGTGCTATTAGGAATGTGTGTGTGTGTCGCGTTTCACACACGCGAGAGCAGAAGGTGAGAAAGGGAGAAACATGCCAAACTTAACTCAGGGCGCGCAGCCTTAATAATTAAAAATCCTTAGCGCGCGCGCGTAACAAATATACCGAACATTAAGCATAAATAGCGGAGGAAGTCGAAAGGATCGACGTGATCCTGAGGAGATAAAATTTCGATGTTGCGACATATCCCAGACAAACTGACATTTGACGTCATTAAACGTCAAACTGAAGTCATTAAACGTCAAAATGACGTAATTAAACGTCATTAAACGTTAAACTGACGTCATTAAACGTCAAAATGACATCATTTGACATTGCTACCTAGAATGTGTCTACAGGGAAATACATTTCCTTGTAGATACATAATAGAAATAGAGATCATGTTTTTCGCGATAATTAATACAGCGTCGAGATTCGAATCTCCCCGAGATTAGATCGATCCTTCCTCTCCGGATAAATAGTTCCGCGATGCACGAGCATGTATCCCTCGTCCTTGACATCCTGTACTCCGTCGTTTCTCGTCCCTCCTCCTGATAACGAATCCGTCACGAAGAGAGACGAGTAGACGGAATACGGATTCTTTTTAGATGAACACCAAACGCTCTCCTTAAACGAGCTCTTTTTTTTCTCTAATCGTCGCGAGCTACCTTAAACGCCGTGTACACTATAGAAAGTAGAGCGGTCCCTTTCGTTATTGTTTGAACGGAGGATAGTGATATATATTTATATTTCGCGCTTTTGTGTCTTTGTGATTTTCGCCGCCAAACATGTGGTCGAACGAGAAAGCAGGCGGCCGTGACGACTTCAAGTCGCGCGACTCGGACGAGACTCGGTGTCACATGATAAATTGCGAAAACTCTTTATTTTTCTACCACTTAGTCCATTTATTCGGACAATTACGGTATAATAAAAGAATCGATATTGTGTGCGACGCCCGAGCGCATGCGTTAAAGATAATAATCACAATGAGCAACGCAAGAGACACATTGATTGCATCTTTATACGAGCATTTCATTTTTTTTTTTTTTACCAGACCATATGTTCTCCGGATTCTACAACAAATACGAATTTAGAACTAGTTTTGTAAATTTGTCATTTTTTCCCTAAATATCTCTGTAATTAGAACCTAATTAAAGTTTAAAATGAATTGATAGCTCTAAGAAAAATCTCATTATTATATAATTTACATTTCTCTCTTCGAAAAAAATAATCTTTTTCAAATAGCTTCCTATTGACGTTGAATGAAACAGCCATGACCTTTCTTAATTTGATTTCTATTTCTCTACTTGAAAATGCGTGATTTCGAGACTTCCCGTATGAAATATATACATGCATATAATTGATTTAAAGAAATTAATAAAACTAATTTATACAAGATTTATGCTAATAAATTCATGCTAATTAAACTATCCATTCAATTTATTACAGTCCCGTCCAAACCGCGACTTTAGTCACCACTCGATTAATAATTTGCGTGTTTCGCAGCACACAGCCATATATATGTGTATATATATATATCATCTTTTTTGCACGCTATCTACGAATTTCTATGCATATGTATTCTTTCATTTCTTTTCGCCTATCATTACAGCAAAACACTATGCTGAATTGTATGTGTGTGTGTTTATATATCTTAAAGTAAATATATACGCCGCGAAAGATATTGTGTGATATTACGATTCTTTTTTCTTTCTTCCTCTCTTCATCTTTTCCCTCGACATTTGTACAACGAGAAGGCATTGTCGTCATTACGCGCTCACTCACATATACGATACAGAGATCGCTCTGCTCTGTGTGTAATTGAAATCGTTTAACGATGACACCCGGCGGGTCATCGTGCAAAACGCTGCCATTAATAATAATCAGCGTCAAGAATCAACGACAGTAGTACATCGCGCGATACATGCATACACACGCACATACACACACATTGCATAATATCATTATTATAATCGTAAATATTCCATTTTTGCTAAACGCATCGTACGTAATATGAATCAATCCCTACTTATAAATTACAAAATTGCAATCGAATGTTCAATAAAGATCTATACACACACAATTTTTTTTCTCTTCTACAGAATAATAAAAAGGAGAAGGAGAAGAAGAAAAAAGCAGAGACATATTAGATTACTTTTTTGTAACTTATACATCTTACATTATATAGAGCAAGATTTTGAATTTTGTATATTTATAAAATATAATATGACTCTCTTTCTCTCTCTTTCTCTCTTCCTCTCTCTCTCTCTCTCTCCTTAAAGAAATTTTCGACTTTTTTTTATGTTAATATATATATCGCGCGTGTACGCCTGGCGTTTGCACGTCTATGCTTGTCTCTCGAAATTTTAATTCTCACATTCTGAATTTAAATTATTTACTATCGCTCTATAGTTCATGATCATTCTTTTTCCTTCTCTTTCTCTCTCTTTCTATATATATATATATATATATATATATATATATATATATATATATACTACAATGATACATATACAAGCATAGATAAGATTACGTTAAAACTAAATAACAGTAATTTCTCCCTGGAAACTTCGAGCTCTTTCTTTCTCTTTCTCCGAGGAGAAGATGAGAAGCGCGACAAGCCGTCCTTGGAGCAACAAGAAGACATCTCTATTAGATCGTGATGAAAAAAATGTTAGAGACACGATACGGCGTCGATTTTTCATTTTCTATCTTTCCTGTACTCTCTCTCGTTCCTGGACTGTTATCGATAGAATTTTTATTAGCTCGTCGGATCGGTCGGCTGTTTTATTTTCTTGATAAATATATAAGATCCTTTCTATAAATACTAACAATATACAGTATATGTATCCTTACACGGCCGAGAGGCTTTACATTAATTATGCGGACCGGTAAGGAGTTGCGACAAGAATATCTTACTAGTTTACAGCGAGAGAGATAGAATACAGTTGGATTATCTCGTTACACCTTCCTATGATACGATAATCATATATACGTAATATTGTCCTGTTACGCTCGGCGGCGCCGGTAGCTTTAGGCACGAATGTGTCGATCCCGAACGAGAATAAAAAATAAAGAGCAGAATGATCGAAAGCTGTACAACGAGGAGAAGACACTCGGATAATGTCAATCTGTGATTTAATTCGATTACGCGAACGATTCGTCGGATAAACGAAGAAAATCGTGTGTTCCATATCATAGGCAAAAAGCGTTGGATTAGATTTACTTAATTATATATATGACATCAGCATGCATTAATTGACTAAAGTCAGAACGCATGTGCAATGCTAATTGTACTGATTATTTATATGTTAGAGATTTCTCTTCCTAGTATACATATCTATATATATATAATTTCTTTCCTCTGTCTGTCTACCTGATTGCGATTTACTTCTACATTTATGGATCAATTTTCGTGGAACTGGTACCAAAATTTTCCTAATTTTCCGGGGAGTAATCTTACGTGGCTTTTGTTTGTTTCGTTCTATTTTTTTAATAACAAGAAGTACTCAATTCTGTCTCTTTAAAATTAAATTAAAAAAGAAATGAGAAAAGAAACGAAAACAAAACATAACATCCATCCTTGTAACATTATAGAAATATTTTGGTACCAATTTTATGAAAATGAATCCACAGATCCACAGCGATCAAACAGAGAAAATTATAAATAAATGAAGAAAGTTATATACAGGCTTTAAGGCCTGCGCTTTGTGCAGCCAAAACGCTAGTATTCTAAATATGTACGTTGAATAGAATCGCACGAATTTTTCTTCACTTATCCGATAAACAATATCTCTCGGTAACAATATTAATAATTTTAATTATGTCGATACATTACGTATATTATTTGACTGTATTAACTTGATAATAAATTCGATATTGGACAATTCTAAAGCTACCGGCGCTATCTTTGAAGAACTCGCGCGATCTCTGTGATTGAAGCTCGACTCGAAGCTCTACCCCGATTTACAGCCTAACTAACAAACTAATGCAAACTGTCCCCGCGGCAGCCGTAATAATTATTTACGCTCTCGGAGAAGATCCTATATACGTTCATATTATATTATACAAAAGATACGCTCGCGAGAAGAGTGAGAACGCGCTCAGAACCTGATCAATCACGCGAACCAACGGAAGAGTACATCGACAAACGAAGAAAAGCGAGTTGATATCAAGTTCCATATTGATACAAACATGATACAAGCCTGACAATATATCTGCATTCGCTTCGCATCCGCTAGTAAAACGAATTTTATTTTAAATTAAGCTTTATCTAAACTTCGCGCGAACCAAAATTTTGCAGTAATATATACGCTCTTTTCGAGACCACTCGGAGAAAATTTTCCTATTCCTATATAAATATATATAATATATATGTATATATATATATATATATACATATTTATGCTTATCGAGATATATACGTACGCGCGCTAATGAAAATTAAAAAGTATTGAGACGAGGAGTACATGAGAAGAATCAACACATCAAGTGTTAGCCCTAAAAAGAGTACTAATAACGGTAGGAAATACTCAGAAACGTGCCGGCTTAGTTTCTCAATAGTCGATCGATTCCGCTAATATCGATTAACATTAATCAACTGAATCCTCCATTACGATTTATATTATTATAGCAAGAGTATTATGATCTGGAAAGAAATGGGCGATCAGTCAAGTTAATCGACGTCGGAAGAATCGGTCTAGTGTCAGTTCTCGATGCAAAATAATAAGTGATAATAGAAAGAGACGGAAGGAAAACAAATTATAGGCGATACTCTAGGAAATGAGGTGAATATTCGCGACCGATAAGACCAAGCATTAGCCTGTGATGTACATCTGTGTGTGTAAGGTGTATTATGTGTAAGTATGAGAGAGAGGCCTCAACGAAAATCGAGCAGACTTTCATCGACTAGTACTGCGTACATTGCGTTTAAATATCGTCAAATTTTTGTCTCTTTCTGCTACAGTCTATTCATTCGTTCGAGCGAGCAATCGCGGATAAATAATCGATATCGATTAAATACAATATACACGCTACATTGATAGATTTTTTTCATTTTCTCAGTTACGACGACATTTACATTTAATTAATTTGACGAGAATCGCGAGTACGTGTATGTGTGTGCGTATGTGTATGTGTATATGTGTGTGTCGACAAAATCCCAAAACGAAACAGGATATTGACTGCGTCGATGGTACCACGTACATCCACGTTGTTGTATTTCGTAATTACTTTGTATGAGCGTCGTAGCCTTAACTCGTTTTAACATACTTCGTTAACTATCTAATTAAGATATCCTCGAACAGTATACGGATAAAGAACATTTAATGAGTCCACCTATTCGTTTCATGTACATATATAAATACATATATATGTATATGATAATTATCGTATATCTTTTATCGTATTTAATATTTAATACTTCTCTCGACAGAGAAAAAAGAATATGCCTCGAAACTCTCTATCTCTCTCTCTTTCTGCTTCGCACCGTCTCGAAACAACATATCCATACACAATCGCAGAGTTACTCCGCGATAATTATATTATATTATATTACAACGAGGATATGTGCCCGATGTGTGCGAATCTCTATTTCGATTTTTTTTCTGCATTCCGCTTAACCGGTTTTAAACATTAATGCGAACATTGGTATACGTGCAATCGTCAGCTACGTGTGTATATAATCTAACGCGATTACGTTTAGAACCATGACGAACCACCGGAGAGTGTTCTACCTCTCTCTCTCTTTCTCTCTTTACCGATTTATTATATATCTGCGCTCTCTTAAATTCAAATTCACGCATCATCAGTTACACACAACAATCTCCCATCCCTTTCCCAAATGTAAAAATTAATCGTACCTAAATATCGCTATGTAATTATCGGAAATTCTTCATCGAACTTAGAAAATGCATCCTTCGATAATAATAGGCTTGCTCGACTTGTATCAACGAAGAAAAACTGCCTTGCGCTCACTTATCACGGCGCAATACTATCACAGTTCATCCTCATCAGGAAGATATTCGCCGCACGTGTTCGTGTCATTCTAAACGCAACTCGCGTCCGAACAACTAATTCGTCTAAGCTACACAGTTTATGCCCGGCTACGGATTTACAAGGCGGACAAAAAAACGCCTCTATATACTCTCTAATGCGTAGACTCCCGCAAACATTTGTCGAGGATTTAAAGAATTCAAAGATTCGATCGCTCTTCGATTTGCCTCTTCAAGATGGGAGACAGATAATCGCTTAAACGACGTATTTTTTACACCACTTATTACAATGTTCGCGAGAACTACGCATCATATTGGAGTAATGCGTGCCGCATTATGCTTTGCTCGGCGAGCAAATATTACAAGGAAGTATATGATACAATTTGCCGATCGTATTTCACAGTAAGACGATTCGGTGAGATGACAATCAATGATTGAAAGATCGCGATCGGGCCATGCCTAACGGAAATAAGCGAGACACATCTTTGTTTCCTTCCTCTTTCTAGGCATATTACACGGTATTTACAAAACTCCGCTCCGTCTTCTTAATTCCATTTGAAATCCTGGAACAGGCATTGGTAGTCTGCTTTAGTACGTTGCGCAATTACCGCGTCTATGTCGTGACGCAATATCATATATATATATATATATATATATATATATATATATATATATATATATATTATATTCTATGTTTTCGATTTGTATTAATACAAATATTTACATGACTGAGATAGCATTAATCTCCTAATGATTTATTTTATGTCAGTAGCATCAGATTGATTGAAGATGCTGCATAAGAGATGGAGAACAGATGAACGTACAATATGTGCAAAATTAGTAATACAGAACAGCCAGATTTCGTTCATTGTAAAATCCATTCTAGATAACTTTATATTTTACGAAATTGATATAAAAAATTTGCATGATCAAGACTACATCATATATATTCTTATAAATAAAATTACATTTTTAAGATAAATTAACATTCAAAAACTACCTAATTATTAAAATTATTTACAATTTTGATAAATAAAATTATCATAAATATAAAACGAAATTTTGTTTCACGTTATAAATCATCCAAATGAAAGTTAACAATTCCGAAATACCGGCGATAAAGATGCTACATGAAACTCATTATTAATTACAAATACGTAAGTCACAAAAGGATTACTGTACACTGTTTTCCTCTGGCTTCACACCCATCGAATCGTTTAAAAAGAAATATAAAAATCACTTACATCTATATATACAAAATTAAAGATCCAATAGAGCCTAAAAAATAAAGAGTATCATATATAAAACTCAATCCCGAGGATGCTGTCTCGATCATAATATATCGTCGCACGGATTTCGTGTTATCTCTAGCCATTTAGATTTCTATCACAGATCCTGCCTCGAGATCCTCGAGACAACAAATGGCGAAAGCAGAAATGATAATTAGAGGATAGGTACCTAATCCCTTCACAGAGCACCAAAAGGATCGAGTTGGACTGCGTTGCCTTGTGGCTGAGCGGGTGCTACAGCGGCTTGAGGTTGGGATTGCTGCTGCAAATTAGGACCTGCCATCATGGGATTTGCGCCGGGCATGGCCATCATCGGCGCAGCTCCTCCCGTAACCATCATACCGCTACCGGCGGCGGAAGCACCTGGGATAGCACACATCATCGGCCTCATACCCTGCATACCCTGCATGCCCTGCATGCCCATCGGCACACCTTGCATACCCTACAGACACCAGAGAGCGAGAGAAATAAGATGTATGTACAAAAGGAAGCATGTGTGCCTGCCAACTTGTATACTTTTTCTTATATAACTAATCATACTTATAAACAGACATTATAATTATGCATCATTATAATCAGACTTAGTTAAACAATAACAATTTAGGCGGTGACTGGAAAAAAAGAAAAATGCATTTAAACCCTCTTATTTTATCTTATAAAGTGCGCTCTAGAATTACGACTTCAATTGCACTAATATTGAACAGAATTGCACGTTGTCGAGACAAGAAAGTTGGATAAGATAAAATATAAGCGCTTTATATAGATAGATTTTTTTCCAAACAAGCCATTCTCCTCCGATATTCTTTGTTACTTTCACATTTGCAAGGACTCTCTAGAAAAATATAGTGTACCTTAATCTAATCTATTCTGATAACGTGTCACCTGCATGTCGGTGACAAACCAACTAGACTATCGCTTACATTCTCTACATTAAGGATTAACGTGTCAAGCAAATTACAGCCAACGTTCGCAGAAAAAAAAACAAATCTCAAACTGGTCTGTAAAAATATAAATTGCTACAATAATAAACTATCTACTACATTCTCGAAAAAAACGTGCACCAAGTGTTACATATCTATGCATGAAGCACAATGCGAAGAAACGCAATGAGGTGTCCGAGTGTCGAGAGCTGGAACATTATTTTCCGACTTTAGTAAAGAGAGAGACCGACAACGAGATATGCGATTTGTACAAATAACAATTAATTATTATTGACGAAAGTGAGTTAGTGACAATTCGTGTTATCAAACATTATTCGTGATCGAGTGGGGTGAAATTCTGATGTCGAATTTTGGCACTTTATCCATATTAAACGAGACTTGCTCGACTCGAAACAAAGACGCTCGCTGATCACCTGAGACTTACCATCATTGCAGGCGGCGAGGGAAAACCCATAGTGGTGGTAGTCGTAGGTAGAAGTTGCGTCATTCCTTGACCCTGTAACACAGCCAGTAACATGCCATATGCCAGGATGCATGCATCACACTCACCTAAAGAGTGCTAACTGACGAGAAAGTTACTTCGTTACGGTGTTACACAGAGCGCGAAAGGGTCCCACGACGAACGATGACTTAAATTTACGGATTTAAGTAAAAAGCTGAATGATACTACGTGAACTATGATACTTAGCACGCCTCTTAACGAGCTATAATAAATGTGAAGAATTGCTAATAATTTCTTCCAAGTGAGAAGGCGAGCGTTTAAACATTGAAATAATCCCGTGAGAAACAAAAATAGCATATATGATATCTATGGATCTACGTTTCGGAGATCTACATTTCGTAATGCGTTTTATTAAGAAACAATTGTTCTATTCGGATAATAATGCATAACAACAATGATGTGTACATGTGCGTGTATTCTCGTGTATCAACAATCAGAAAAAGCGTGCTGGGAATTATTTTACGGAGACCGAAGATGAAAACGTCAAGACTTACCATGGGCCGATAGCCAGCACCAGTAGTAGCTGCCATTGGCTGAGGTGACCATCCACCAGCTGGACCCGTTTTTGCGGCGTTCTTCGGTGAGTTCCATTGCATTCCTCTGCGAGAAGGAAAAATATTTTATTAATTGTCAGAAATATTACCAATTGTGTGCAAACCCGGTTTTGGACAATGTCATACTTCTACATCATTACGAAAAAAATTACTTAAATATAATTTTATTATTTATATTATATGTATTCCAAATAGAATTACTTGCATATTATACAGGGTGTCCCATTTTAACTTAGATATCTAAATTTCTCAAAAAATATGAAGGATATGGAAGACCGTTTCAAACAAAAATTATTTTGTTCAAAGGGGTACATAAGATGATGCCATTGATTTGTTCTTGAATAGTCATTTGAAGGTCACGTGAGACATACAAAAAATGAGGGTTCATGATAAAGAAATTGAAAGTGACCTTCACGCGATCTTTTGTTCGAAACGTTCTTCCGTATCCTTCATATTTTTCGAGATATTTGAGTGTCTAAATTAAAATGGGACACTTTATATATGAAAAAGCTGCGCTTACTTTACTTGCTGCTGCGCGCTCTTATTAATGGTCAAATTTTGCGCAAGACTAGCGAGACTGCTGTCCAAGTCTCCGGTCAAAACCTTGCCAGTGGCAGCTGCACTAACCGGTTGCCCCGCAGCTGAAATAACATTATATTCAAAATCAACTCATCGTTATCACGCCGAAATAAAAAATTATCAAAAATCATCCTAAACAACATCCTAAGCAACGCCAAGCAAAGCTCTCCAAATATAAAAACCAAGTGGGGATTTAAAGCAAATTGTGAAATTTAATTAAATGTATACAAAATAAAGCATAATTTTCAGTAACATATTTTTCTAAAAAATAATAATAAAATAAAATATTTCAGGTTTCAAAAGATCCTCTAAACTCTAAACCATCGTCACGGAATTTCTAAACAGCAGCGTGCAAAAGCCTCTAAACGTAAAATTATGCTTGCATTGCACAAATACTCATGAGCATGCAAATTATCATAATTAAATTGTAAACTAATAAAATAACGATCGCATACATACACAACACAGAGCGTTATCGCGCGTTCTATGAATATACCAACGATTAACCAGAAAGTGATGTAATCATCTATCTTTCTTTTGGAGTGATTTTTGCGATGTCGAAAATATTATAAATAAATCAGGCACGTTTATCTACTAGTGCACAGATGGCTAAAATTACATCACACTTATCTTACGTCTTCACATCTTTAGACATAAACAATCACGGCGACTTACCGATCGCAATAAAGTACAAATGATAAATCAAAAGTGCGATTTCTTGGACAATATACAAAAGTCAAAAAAATATGAAGACACATATATCTAAAAGATGTCTCTTAAGTTTACACGTATTATTTCTAGATATAAACTTTCACAGTACAGAATGCGCAATATCGTGCTGCGACGCAAAGAGGCGAAAGAAAAAGAAAAGACTTGGACGGAGAGAAAGAGATAGAGAAAACAGCGAGGGTGCGACCGTCATGCAATTAGCGTGTGGGTTAATTTAGGCATTCCCGTCACCTGACATCGGCTGCTTTGCCGGCGAGCCGTACCCCACGGGGACTTGGGCTTGGGGAGGAATACCGTAGCCGACCATCGGCGCGCCGGTCATCATGGACTGTTGGCCGGCAGCGTCGTTCATGCCGCTGAACATCGCGGCACCCGCCGGCGGCATTTGTTGTTGTTGCAGCGGCTGCTGCTGGGCGGTGATCGCGGCTTGTTGCTGGACCATCGGCGCCGGACGCGACGGAGACCCGCCCAGTGCCATGCGGATGCTGTCGTTGAGATCGTCGAAGGCGCTCTTGTTAGCGGGGGGGCCTGGGGCCGTCGCCGTCGCCGCCGCTGGTCTACCATGTGACACTCCGGTTGGGGATAGTGCACGCGGTGCGGCACCAACGTTTGCGGCAGCAACGGGCGCGGGTGGCGGTGGTCTAGGTGGCGGCGTGGCAGTGGAGGATGTCTTGCCGACGGCGGAGGATGCCGTCGACGCCACCACCTCGGCCGCCGCAGCGTCCCCGTCGCCGTTTGTTGCGGTCTTCAGCATCGCGGCGGACCCATCGCCCCCCGCGAAGAGATCCGCTTGACCGGCACTGAAGAGGTCTCCGCCTGACGCCGTTGTTGTCGCTCCTGCTGCTGCTTGCGCCGCTGATTCGTTCATCGCACCGCCGCCAACAACACCACCGCCGGCGTTTTGATCGAAGAGCCCGAAGGCGCCCGCGTTCGTCGCCTGTTGACCGCCGGCGGTACCGAGGGACGGGAAATCGGACATGAAGGGATTAGGTACGGACGCGGCCGTTCCTGGGACGCCAGCTTGCGCAGAAAGTGATCAAGGTGCATAAGTTAGCTTTTTTCTTTCTTTCATCCGTTCGCACATTCGGATAACAATATCAAATGCCTTGCAATTATTATTACCGGTGACCCGTTAATACGTTAGTACAGAGAGAACAAAAAGAAGAGGTATGCATAGTCGAGTAGAACGTTAACGCGACATTACATGTGACATTCCATCGCGCGTTAACGTTACACTTTGAATGCATTCGGAGAATGTATCGATATGAATCAACGTTCAAACAATTTAAAGAAAAAAATATATAGATAGAGAAAATATACTAATACATATTATTATTTATATTTATAGTAGACAAAAATTTGTCAATTGCTATTTTATTCGATACATCTCTACTCATAGCGTTAGGGTGCGTACAGACTAAGTCATTCACTTAGTCTATACGCACCCTTAAACGGCACGTGTGACTGCTCAGGCGCGTTCCAAGTATCTAAAGTATAAGATGTATGATGCAAAAGTATCATAAAAATGGCCGCAAAACTTCTACGACAGAAAGAGGAAAAGAGAAATGTACAGATGACAGAAAAAGAAAAATAAAAAAGTGCACAAAATCTCAATCCCGTGTATGAATGCGCTCTCATATGTATAATATATATGTATAATATCTCTGCTTATATCTACGTTCGCTAATAAGCACTTACTGGATTGTTGATCCTGATTTCCGAATACGGAGGAGAAACTGTTATCTGTAACAAAGTTATTATTTGCTGGTGGCGCAGCTGGCGCGAAACCTAAAAGAAAAAAAACCAAAAGTGGAAAATGGAAGAAAATGAAAACTAAAAAAGGAGAACATATCATAATCAAGCGCGGTGACCGATAATGAAGCAGCGATGATCGAGACTAATATATAATGCCGAGATTTAAATACTCTGCTCACCAGTACCGTTGGTCATCCACATGTTGTTCTGACCGGCTGATTGCCCAGCTGGTGCACCTGGTTGTGGTGTCCCGAACATGTTGGCGAACGGATTACCCGCCAGTTGCAAGAGATCATCCGACGCCTTTTGCGAAAGTTGCTGTAATGATATTCGATTACTGTGGGATCGCAGACACACGATTCCTAATCGAATGGAACAAATCTAAAGATATACCTGATTTTCAGACGCTGCTGCACCAAACAAATCCACGATCGGCTGGTTGGCATTATTGGTCGGTGAACTGAGGAAGGGATTTGTGCTAGTACCCGATGGCGATTGTACTTTTGCCTGCAATATATACATTGAGAATCAGTATCATGTTTTATACACGAAGAATATATTCCCGAGCGCGCTACAACAACAGAAAAATGCTTAAAGTATCAAGAAGGTAAGTTGGAAGAATACTTTGACATGAATAGTCATCGCGCACACACAATCCCAACTTTATCCATTTAAAATGAAAATCATGCGGAATCAAGTAACTCGATTATGAAAAATTTGTCTAATACCTTGTATTGATTCATGGCGGCTTCCTCTTCCGCAAGAGCTTGCTGTCGCAGCGCCTCATCGATGTGGCCATTCCCAGTTTGGTCGAGCCTTGCATTGCTGGCTGCTGTTCCGAACGCGGTACTGGTGGAAGACAGGGCGGACACTCCCGACTTTACATTGGTTCTATTGCTGCTTTTGGGCGATGATGGGATGTCGGAGATGTGCGGTGTCAATTGGACGGAAGAAAACAAAAGAGGACGGACAAGAAGAATACGGAAGGTCCGTTTCAGCGAGTTTGTCAAATGTGGCGAGAGAGAGGAGCGTAAAGGAAAATTTGATAATTGAAAACAAAGGAGAAGAGAGACAAACAAAAAAACAAAAATACAAACGTGTAGTACGTATAGATGTAACAATGCGCGTAAAAATGCATAGTGTGCATCCATTCGTACACTCACATGCAACCCTTCTCTTTCTCTCTCTTCTTCTCACCCTGGCACTCTTTTTCTCTTTCTCTCCCTCTTATTCTCTCCCTCTCTTTCTTTTTCTTTCATTCGCAATTTTACTGTCCAATTCTTTACTATATGTCCTAATATACACATGCATTTATTGGTGTTCTATTTTCTGTAATAAAAATAACGTCAAGCTTGCGTATCAAATCAAATCATATTATAATCACATTAATGTGTAAATATATATCGTTCAATTATTTTATATAATTTTAAAAATAGTACTGAGCTTGCTACAATAATAAAAAGCCATTTTGTACATGATAAATACATGTGCATTAAAACCTTATATAGTATTCTCTCTTCATTATTCCAAAACAAATTGTTTTAAGAATTTTAACGGTAATCTCAATTTAAACTGTTATATCCAAGCTATATGAGTTTCTATACCAATGGATAAGAAATATACTTTGTATTTACAAATTTCAATTATTAGAATAAAATTCCATTATTCATAATAGATTTAAAAAGCAATGTATAAGCAATTAAAATTAAATTATTGATTTACTGTTAATCGCAATTAAGACAATTTATTTTACAGCGTGCTTAATATCTACTATAATCAAACTATAGGGAAACTACGCCAATTACCTAAGATTAAACAGATTATAAATTTATTCATGCAATATACATGAACGGTAAATTGGAATTGGTAATGTCAAAAGTACAAGTATAATTTTCGACGAGAAGTACATATATATATATATATATATACATAAATAAATATTAAATACCAAAAATTTAGAGACACAGCGTGGATATCTTATAAATGGATTAGGATATACAAATAAATTTTCAAAAATTCTGTGTACAACTAAATGTCAAATGTCATTGGATAAAATTAACCTGAAATATCCAGGAAATACCATCGATAAACTTTGTAAATTGGAAGATAACTGTCGAAAAAGATACAACTTTCCAAAAATATTTGTTCAAGACTTCTCACGACATTTATTTAAAGAACATAATGAATACTTAGCATTTCTTTATATGAGTTTGAAATGGGTTGTATAAGTGGGAAATTATGATATTCGAGATAAACGAATGCAATTTTGTGTTTAAATAATTCTTATGCGTGTGCATGTGCAATAAACATATTTTGTTTAAATACTCATATTAAGAAGCTTGTAAAGATGTGTATAGAAAAAGGCGTTTTTGATCTTAAAAAAAATGTACAATGAGACGAAAAATGGTGGATTTGGGAGAAGTAGAGAAGGAGAAGTATATCGATTTTGATAGCATTCAGTGTAGGGACGTTTAGAATTATTCCTACATCGATCATTATGTGAAATTTAAATGAATCGAATATAAATGGGCAAAGAAATTAGCATACCTTGCTGATTGCGTCGGCGTATTTGCGGCTGAGCCCTTCTTTCCTTCCAAGGAAGCGAGATGTTGCTCCAAGGCGTCCAATAAACTACTTGGTGCCTAAAAAGCAATTTGTCAGTCATTCATAGGGCCATTAGAATCATGAGTGAGGTGCAAGATAGAATGAATCAGCTGTGCATTTAACTTGGAAATTTCTCTGCGCTAAAACGCATGCATTTATTTTTAGAAGATTTCGTGAGTTAGTCATAAATATTTTCTTTGAAAATGTTATAAACGAATATTCAATGAAAGAGTAATCGACGGTAAAATCGGCTCACAAAATCTGCCAAAATAAATATCACCAATTATCTTTATGCTGCTCTATACTAGATCACACTAATTCTACCTCGTTAAGATATAATCAGTGTTGATATTACCTGTCAGTAATGTACAATAGGAAGAAACAAACGAAAATATTACTTTATCGGTTGGCTAGTTAAATAATTTTTTTCACTTCGTTAATTAATCTTTAAAATAATAACCGATAATTATATACAGATAATTATAAACACATCCTTATTGGTAGTATAATAAGATAGAGAGTTAATAAATAGAATCGCGAACGCACGTACCTTCGTCAGATCAGGTATGTCTCCTTTATCGATGCCGACGTTCTGCAAAAAGAAATATGCTCAGTCATTATCAACTTAATGTTACGCAATCATTTTTTATTTTTTACATATAAATCATATATATAACTTACTTCCGCGACTTTCAGAAATTCTCCGACCCTATCCATACGTATGAGGAACTTTTTGTAGAGGTCTAAAGCGTCCCGGCATTGTTTCTTGTTCATGTCGAAATATTTCTCTGAAAAGAGAGATATCACAATCGCAAATTGTCCGATTAGAAAGACGCGATCGATTATTCCATCGATCCGCGAATATGCATTTATTACGCGCAAATAGGGAAAAAAAAGGCTGAATACGGTGCGTTACCTAACAGATTAATGATGCCGTCATTATAGCAAGCGAATAACCGGATAAGATCTCGAAAGAGGAGCATGAAGGCCATATTTATGACGCCATTCGTGAGGTCGTTAGCCGTGCAATCGAATTCCAGCAACGCGTCGAGTTGGGACTGCAGTACTGGCAAAGTTTTCAGGAGTTTCTCGGCGTTCATTGTGCGTAGAGTGCCGTCCTCTTTCCTGTAAAACGTCGATTACACAATCAAAGATCAATTCTCTCGCTCTACAATTAAATTACAATGTTCCACACACACACGCACACGCACACACACACACACACACACACACACATGTACACGTACCCCCGTTTCACTTTGCAGAAGTCGAACGCCACCGTCCTGTAGGAGAGGGCCTTCTCGTTGAGATACTTGGCGTATCGCCTGATGAACGGCGACATGTCATATCCTGATCGACGCGACAGAGAGAGAAAAAAACGGCAATTACTCACTTTTGTTCACGTACCGTGAAGACATAATGAAAGCACTAATAGGCAATGCGACGCAACAATGCGTAAAAGTGAAATTAGAAAGTCAGCAATACGACCGAGAGATGCGATTGCATTAATTTTATAAAGTTATATAAGCATGCGTATTAGAGCCGCGATTAAAAATTATTTTTTTTTTTTAATCAAATATTTCATTATAAATTTATAAAGTTCGCACCGAGCGTAATTAATTTACAACATATATGTATATCGATTAACGTACATCACATATACATTATTACAGTTAGATGCACGTAACTTTTTTTTTGGTTTCAAGATATAAAAATTAAACATGTATGCATAAAGCAATGTTAGTAAAAAAAAAAAAAAAAAAAAAAAGGTGGAAACGAGACGTGTTTTGTTAATAGAACTCACCCACGCGTATTCCTGCTTCGTGTCCCAAGAGATAGAAAGTTAGTCCAGGTTAGTAAATCGTATATACAGGTGTCAGATACATGGAAAAGAGGAAGATTCGCATTTGCCGTACGGATGATAGCTGTAGAATGCGAGCAAGTTAGCGAGAGAGAAAAATTCGCGCGTGAAAAAATTCGTGAAAAGCATTCGTATCGTTTTTTCAAAAATTAATTATAGTCATCATCTAACGATAAGCGCCTCTCGATGACCGATGATCGACGTTACATGTACGCGATCTGTCAATAACAAATCGAATTCATGTCTCTCGTAAACATATTCTCGGCGACGAGGTACCGCGATTAGCTATTCAAATTACGGCATGTTGCAATTTTCCATGCAACGCGTGCATATTAAATCACGTCACTCGAGTAATGACACACGAGTTCTTTTTTTAAATATAAATTGCGAATGTGCGAAAGGCCGTGCGATTCGTGCTCTGCGTTTTTCGCGGATAATTTTGTTAATATGGAAACAAATGTTAATCTTCCGCTTTTCAGATGAAAAAAAAAACACATTATTTAGAACGTGACAAGTTGTTACGAGAGTAGTTCTCTCTCTCTTCTTCGTCCAGGATGCCGCAGAATTGACGGAAAAGGAAATTTGCAGCCAATCATATCGCGACAAAAATATCGAGCCTGTTAATTATTATTATTACACATGCATTAATTATTTTTTCGCGAATGAAATTTAACAGAGATACGAATAAAGAATATTCGCTCGAAACAAAAGGAATAATTCGCGTCATCATTTTCCGTGTCGTCAATTCCGGAACATCTTGCAATATCCCGAGAAAATGCAAAGAACTCCCTTTTCCCCCGTCGATACGATTGTGAAATGATCACCTTGTACGCCACTCTTGTCGAGGAAATTGCTAAGCTGAAATGTGCTATTGCTGGATGCGAGATACTGTGTGAACCTCTGCAAAATAGAAAAGTCATTTCAGGAAGATGCACAATGGGGCGTCTCTCGCGGAGTCGAACGAAAAGAGAAAAAAGATTAATAATTACCTCGTTCCCGTAGCACATCATGTGATGCACGGTGATCAGAGCTTTGAAGACCACCGTCCAGTTTGTGTTCTGCGAGCGTTCTATCAAGAGGTTCGCCAGCTGCGGAATGGAGACGTTCGGCTCATTGGTGCAATGGATTAAATCTGAAACAAGAGAGAAAAAATGAATTTTTCATTGTCCAAGGACGATGGAAATATTTTCTCGATCTCGACTTCACCCTCGAATTACAAATTATCTAAAATTGGACATCGAATAACTCAATAATTCGATACTTTACAAGCGTCGCCGCTGCTTTTTGACGATGTACTTAAAAATGGAGAAAGATATAGCTGACGCTATCGATTTTCGCGGCGACTCTGACCTGCATGTGTTGAACTCGAATGTTCGCGCAAACCAGCCACGAAGGAAATATATGCCAATACTGTGTTGAAGAAGACCACGACAATCTACGCGACATCGATCAATCGCGATTGATTGACGAAAGTAGCAGCCACGTCAGAAGAATGCCATGTAATAAGATTAACAATCGTCACTCAATTTCGAACGATGCATTTAGCATATATTACACTATGTATTATCGAAATCATGTCAACCATAATCATATATATACATATATATATATCATATATATACTCAGTTGGTTGTCACGTGACTGTTGAATGAGCTCTCACAGATGAGGTCAAGAGCGCATCTTATACACTGAAAAAAATTTAGTTAATTCTTATAAGTATTTCAATACTGTCAAATAAATCATTTATTTGAAACTAATAATATTTATTTGATATAAGAAAATCCTTTTCAAAACAAATAAATATTTATTTGTTTCAAATAAATGATTCATTTGACAGTATTCAACTAAATATGTATTAATAATATATGATATTTTTAAATCGGCCAATAGAGCCCAAGCGCGAAAAATTAATTCTTCGGAACTGTATCTCTTGGTTTGAGATTACTAAGTTCCATATATAAATTAATCTCGAACTTACATATGGAGGAGAAAAATATGTATTAATTTAGTCATTTTTTCAGTGTACACTGGAAAAAAATTGTTTAACTTGATTAAACCTTTCAACTAAATTACTATTTTGTTAATTAAAAATATGCTAGTATTTATAAATTAAATATACATTTTGTTACACAGAGAGAATTTTCTCTTACAATTAGAATTTATTTTGAAAATCATAATAATCAAAATTTTATAAATTTCTCTAATTAATATTTATCACAAGAAAAAATATTAATATCTACATAATAAAATATAAAATATGTCCGATTGATTTTACTATGTACATACTAATATTTTTTATTATTATGGTAAATATTAATCAGAGAAACTCGTATAAAATTCTTTTAATATTACCATGATTTTCAGGGTAAATTCTAAGAGAAAATTCTCTTTGCGTAACAAAATATGTATTTGACTTATAAATACTAATATATTTTCAATTAACAAAATAATAATTTAGTTGAAAGGTTTAGTCAAGTGAACAGATTTTTTCCAGTGTAACATATCATTAATTGACCTCTTGATCTCAAGATTAAATCTCTGATAAAAATTTAAAGGCAACTTTTCCGGGAATATAAATCTATCCAAATTAATAAAAAAAATTTTTTTAAATTGTAGTAGTGTTTAAACATGTGAACGAAAAGAGTTCTTATCACACGTCGAGTTCAAGCTGTGTGATCGAGATATATACATATCTTTCCCTTGTTATCGTATCTGTTTACAATATTGGCTAAATATATTTTCTTCGTAGAAGTAAGAGATTAACGGGAAAAGCGACGGGAGTTAAATAACATTTTACACCGCGGACAGTTTCCCACGGCTTTAAAGCGTCTCCGCCTTCTCTTTCTCTCTCTCTTTCATCCGACCGATGATCCCGCAATATCGAAGTCACGACGAGAGGGCTTCGAGAACGAAAGTGCAACGCGAACAGGCGGAGGGGAGCACCGGATAAAGTCGCGAATGAAGCTGTGAATCAGCAGCGAGAGAGCAGCTTCGGACTCTATCCATTCTACGAACTGCCCAACATTTCCATATGGACCAATTTTTACCCATATGTTATCGCGAAAATATCTTTTAATCGGCGCAGATTTTTTTTTTTTTTTTTTTTTGCAAAAGCGTGATAATTATTTATGCACGATCGATATTAATTCTGAGGGAAAGATGAATGAAATTTCCACGCTTCTTTTTTCCGTTCTTACGATTTGATTTATTTAAATTATTAATTTAAAAAATTTATAGAACTATATTGTAATTTATATTTTAATATTATTTTATTAAAATTAACATAAATATCTTTCTGTTTTTGTTTTATTCCCCAAATTAATTTAATTCAATATTTTAAATTTTATATCATATTTTAATTATATAAATTATTTTAATAAAAATTTAAATAATAAATATTATATTTTTTGCATTCATATTTATATGCATATTTTTCCAACCATCGCTACTTTTTCCTCTTCAACCACTTTTTATATATATAATACAAAAAATTATATGGTAAAAATTAAAAGAAATTAATTAAAATTAATAATATATAAGAAACATTGTACATAAGATAAAAGAGGCAAACATAAAGATTTCATGAATCAAAAACTCTCATTTTAATGAAGAACTGATGAGTGCAAGAGAATAATTAAAATGGAAGAATAAGATGTATCTTAAAAAATAGAATATACTGCTGTCAATAAAAAATTGCAGTTTGCCACGATTACAATTAAAAGCTGCAACGAGCAAACCGCGATTTATCTCTCTCTCTCTCTCGACCTTGCGAGATTTCCCGTTCTAATTATAATCTCCCAAACATACAGACGAGTTTAGCGGCCAAATGGCGACCGCGTTGGCATCGAGATCGCGGACTGTCAAAACGAAAGCACGTCCCTCGAGTGCGTTCATTCAAAACAGAGGCCGATTCAGACACGAGATGAAGGCGCTTCAATTTTTTTTCGTACCACATACATACGTGAAACAGGTGCAAACTTTTGTCGGATAAAAAAATGCAGCTGTTTATTCACGGAAAGCCAGTTATCTTTGACACTATGATGTTCACGCACGCGTACGCAGAAGTTGGAACGTCTGATATTTCACAAATATATTATATAATATATTATGTATAACTGCGATATATTGCAAAACATTGAAATGTATTTTATATTAATTAATCAAATAAATATAAATTATACATATATAAATATAGAAATAATAATATAAGATTCATATTATTATATTTTTATTTTTATACATTAGTATATATATTTCCAATAATATTGTATTAAAATGAATAAATGTAGATATTTTAAAATATAAAATATACTTGACAAACGTTGCATTTGAATAAATATATTTGGAAATAATTATTTTCAGCCGCGAGAGAGCGAACTTTGTGTTTAATTGGCATAAAGATGTATTTTAGCGCGACAGACGCAGCTGATAATACGCTTTTAATAAATCTTTCGATAAATGCTGGGTGATTGGCAATCGTCGGATAAATATGCGTGAGCTGGTAAAAAAAATTATTGAAAAAACACATAATCGTTATCTAGGCAGTGAAGGGGTGTACACCGAGAAACTGACACTGCAGCATCAAATCATGTGTATCTCCAGACGCGGACGGAGGCGTGTCCGATAACGTGTTTTGGCAACGCGATTACAGCTGCTACACTGAACAAAAAAAATTGTTAATTGACTATATTTTCAATGATAAATATTATTTTGTTAACTGAACATATTTTTTTATTTATACACGAGAGATAATTCCCTTCGGTGCACGATTTAGAAAAATAATAATAGTATTAATAATAAAAAAATAAAATTAATTAAATATCATTTTGTTAATTGAACATGTAAAAATATTTCTTTTTAATTTTTTTATTTATTACACGAGAGATAATTCCCTTCGGTACACGGTTTAGAAAAATAATAATGATATGAATAATAAAAAAATAAAATATTTAAATTAAATATAACATATTAAATCTAACAAAATGTATATTTGACTTGAATACTAATATATGTTCGATTGACAAAATAGCGAAGTTGAAAAGTTAACAATTTTTTTTTTCAGTGTACAAAATCAGCTTATATACGAGCCGAACGAAAATGTAATGTCGAACTTTGTCGATCAAAATCGTGGCATCGATCATACATTGATATGGATATATGTAAGATATTCTATAGAAAATCCCCGACGTAAAGTCTCGATGATAGATGGATTTTCCACGGATTTCGGGTTATCTATTTTTAACCGAAAGGAAAAATTTCGCAAAGAGGATTTCGTTCTTTGTCGCGATATTAAAATATGTTGCAATTTATATTTATATTTTATCTTTTTATATTTATATTTTGATGTTTTTATATTAAATTATTATATTACATATATTTATATATATAATTAATATATATAATAATCATATTTGTGTAATAATAAAATGCATCGTATATTATAAACATCTGATCTGATTAAAATATAAATATTAAATATTAATTATGCATATTATTTTCAAATAAAATCCTAATATCTGAAATAATCCAACAACGAAATATTGAAGCACCGCGTTAATAAATTTTATCTCAAAGCGAAAGAAATATAATGGAAAAGAAATGAAATAAAAACTGCATAAAATTAAAAAAAAACGCAATCTTCTGGAAGTACGAAAGGCTAAAAAAAAACTAATATATAATATGCAATCTCAAGACAGAACAGTATTTTTTTTTTTGAATACGCGCGGTAAGAGAAAGATATTTCCACGCGAATAAAATATCATATTGCCATTTACCGCGAAAAATAATTTTATGTCACTTAGCCTAGCATGCTATACTCTAGCACGAGAGGCTAAGAATGTAACCGGCCCTTCTCTTCGGATCTTAAATGCGCAATCTTGGTCATCGCACTCTCGGGGTCGCGACTCGTCCCTGGTATATATTCAATTTCTTTTTCTTTTTTCCCTTTATTTTATTTGTCTTCTCTATCTCGACTTCCTTCCCCACGCATTTTCTCAGTCAGTATCAACAACTCAGGTTCACAAAGGCTTCTCGTCAAAGGCGATACTTATGCGCGATGAATGTACAAGGTGTTTCAGAAAGAATGGAGCAGCATTTTAAGACATGACTGTATATACATATACTATTTTAAGC